TTATTATTCTAAGATTGAAAGCTCTACATTTCAATAATGTCACAATCGACGCTATAAAACCACTTACAGGTACAGGAGTAGTAGAATCGTTACTGCCTCCGACAGATATGCCAATATCAGGGTCAGGGCATATTTCCCCCACGATCTCACTGTCTGACGCGACTTGGGACACCATCCGCACGATAGCAGTGCTTAGACAGACTCGCATCGTGAAGGAATTAGCCAGCGCGAATAGGCCCAACAGACCTATCAAGTAGCGCTGAGGGATGATCGTAGCTGTAAACAAATTATTGCCTCGTTTCAAACTACAATACAGCAGACAACAGCGGTGGATGATCTATTGTGGGATAAAACACCAACCCTAACCCAAAAAGCTGTCAATTATACAGAACATATTAGTTTCGTCGAGCAAGGATCTTCGATAGAGATGAGATGTCCTACGTTATAATAATTGTGTCGATCATTATAAAAGTGGAGCAACTCCATTATTTGCACTAACATCCCCATAGATGGCATTACTAATTTACTCAGAGAACAAAATTACTACATATTAATTTGCTAAAAGCTCATTGTTTCAAAATTTAATTACAAGAACATCATTCACTTTTACAATGAACGACACAATTGTAACACTTCGACCTCAAAACTTCGTGAATTTAATCTATTTGCCAAGTTTTCGAAATCGATTACCGGAAAGTACGCAAAACCGGATTCATCCCCTAGTTTGCCACCCTTAGATGTGGAATATTTTCTCCTAATGTAAGTGGAACCAATACTTAGGTACCCTCTTTCCAACAAAAAAGAATCATCAAAATCGGTTTACAAATGCCGGAATATACACGTAACATACACACAAAAAATACACATGAAATTGAGAACCTCCTCCTGTTTTTAAAGTCGGTTAAAAATAGATATAACAGCGAAAAATTTACAACCAATTGTACTACAAAAAACGACTCGAGTTGCTTTTAAATTCCCAGTTTGGTCTATTATCTTACATTCTTCTTCAAAATAACAATAATTGGTATACCTAATAAAGAAGCCAACTGTGATTATACCTACGTGAGTATACAAAACCGCTTTTATCACAATGAAAGTTATAAAAATATTACAAAAATAAATGAAACAAATTATTTACATGTCACATTTAGCACTCTCACTTAAGTATAATAATGTTATTGACTAATTCCTTCGTAGATTCTTTAGGCCATTCGGCATTCTCCTGAAAAGTTATCATTTCAGATACGGCCTTATTACACAAGCTGTGATGTATTCGTTCTTAATATGAATCATTCGTAATAATAATAATATAATAACGTACACACTCAACGCAGCCCCGCACTAGGGAAACCCTGTGTCGCGGGTGCCACGGACACACACATAGACAACCACAAATTACATCCAAACTCACGAGAGAAATAAATGTAGGCCGTACAAATATTTCTCCCGACCCGGGAACCGAACCTGGGACCTCTGCGTGGCAGTCGGCCATGGTAATCGTTCGGCCACGGAGGCAGTTAGTGTGTATGTTGAAGAACCTTAACTTTATTAATAAACATACCTTTGTTCAAAAATAATCGCCATCCTGTAAGAGTCATTGTACCGTGATTGTCACAAAAATAAATATTTTATTAATTCTTTAAGTGAAATTTGACTTTTCGACACATGGCGTAGTACGCCCAAAAAATGTACATCCGGATATAACTACAACACAATATGGTTGGATCAACTTATCATGAACTGAGTTGAGTTACATCTAGATACAATAACGTGTTTCTTTGATTTGATATCTAACTAAGTATCAATACACATTGGTCCGATAGAACTATTGTTAACAGTAGAACATATGATTTGTAATTCCTAATTTGAAAAATTATAATTTCACCTCACTAGCTCGGAAAGGCTTTTTTCTCATTAGAAATCTGCGCGCAAAAGCGTTTTTTGCACGCTAGCGTGGAAAAGGTTTTTGAAATTTGAACTTGACGATGGACTGTGGTGCACCTAACTTTTTCTTTCAAAAAAAAAAGATAATGACACGTTCAAATAAGCGACTTGTCGTACATTGCTTATTTATGTAATATAAATCCGTTGGTATATTTTATTCTTATTATTGTTGACATTAAATTGATAATGAATAACTAATTGTGTTTATTAAATTATTTTAATTCGTCGAAAAAATTTATTCGTGTAAAATAATTTAATCACACATGATAAAAGTATGTTACAAGCAAGGCGAGCAAGAATAAACATTGATAAGGTGTAAATTCAGAACGCATCCGAAGGTAAAAAAACTGATATTCTTTAATTGAAGTGTTTTTCTTTCATCTGCCATTTTCCTCGCTATAGTTGAAAAGTTGTGTGTTTCGCTCGGCAGTATAGTCGTTTTGCGTCTCGTGCATTGAACTCCTCGCTACGCTCATGAATCTATTTTTGGACCACTCACTTCGCTCGTGGTTCAATCTTAGCTTCCTTCGCTTGATCCGGTTTCAATATAAGCACTCGCGTCAAACAACAACTTTGCAGCCTTGCATAACAAATAACTATTGATATGGTCGCTTAATTCTATGACTTAACGCTATGGTCGTATAATAATTAAGTCTGTACTGCAATAAGTTTCTTTAATAAATCTGTGTGGCGTATATTTGTTTTATTCTAATTATTAAGATCTTTGTTAATCATTTACCATAATTAATTCAATGCACTAATATACAATAATTAAGAGCATTTATTTTTAAATGATTGCTTTTTTAAACAAATATACTTTAAGTTGATTATTTTTAGTAATAGTATTTACATACTAGACAATTTACGTATTGTTATTATTATGTATTAATAAACATAACCCTTCGCAGATTTAGGTACTTGCCAGTTTACATTATGCCCATAATTAATAAACCTATCTTAAGTTTTAACAAACCGATCTTAACTTTGACCCCTATCTCAAGGTTCATCTCGAAGTTTCATGTTGTGCTACTCCTTCTTATAGATTGTTGAGGTAAGTATAACACTCAATGAACGTGGTTTATCCCCGACAGGTTACGTCTGATAATAAAACGACATTAAATCCACTTGCGTAGATAACAGCATTCATCGTTACCTCTCTTGCTTGAATCTTAGATTGATACAAATAACATCAATGACATTGGTACATTTTAAAGTACTACTGTATTTGTTAAGAGTCACAATACGCTTGTCTTCTGGATTTTCTGTATTTATGAAAAATTACAGTCAAATGCACGTCAAGCAAAATTCTTGTTCAATATCGCCTCTAGTGCAAACGAAACAAGATCCGTCAACGTGTAGCTTGTGCTGCCGTCTGTACATTATAAATATGAAGTAGGTAGAATAAAATGCCTTATGTTATTTTGATTCAAGTTATTTATCACTCTTGTTTGCTATTTTTTGTTACGAAGAAACACAGACGATTTATTTAAAAAATTAAAAACTGCGTTGTTGACTAATTATCCGGAAGTCGGTATAAAGTGACTGTCTCTATCTGCGGGTAGCAAAACTATAATGGCTTTACTAAAGCGTTTATCTTTTTATTAGTAGATGGCGTAGTAAGCAACTGAACACCGACCTTTGTTGGCAATCAAAATAATATATATTTGCACGACTGTTTTATCGACTGAGCCCAACTCATTCATTCTTCTGCATTTCCTTCATTCATTTATTCTTGACAGTAAACAAATGCCGCAAATGGCAATAGCAAAAAAGCTTGCCGTTGCCGAATAATAATTTGAAAAATAAATCTTAGATTTTATCCAAGAATTCTAACAATCGTTGTCTTTTGTGCTTGGTGCCACGAGTGAAATCACAATTGTTTCAAATCTGGATGAGATTACGATGATTGCGGCCTCTGAACCACTAGTAAGTGCGAATTTTATTACTACGAATTTCACAAATGCACTGTTGCTATTTTTGTAATATTATTCTATTGCGTTATTTTAAAACGAAATTTGCAAATGACAATAAATTGCAATATATAATTTGTGTTTGTATTTAATATTCCAACCTTTACCGGCAAATCCTAAAAACTTGATTTCCTCTTACCTCACGCGTAACTGCGTTTTGGTCACTCAAAATCAATTCTAAAACTATGTCAGAGTTTTTACACATATTACTTAATAATTTGACATGTATGTACCAATAAACAAATTAATATTTCCATTATATTCGATCACCGAAGTTGATAAGTTCAAGGCGATGTTACCACGGTCAAATTCACAAAGTCCTTAACTGGTGAGCATGTGAGACAGAATTGATGTGTGCCCCTTATCCCTTTGGGAAAAGGGCATAAAGTTTATGTATGTATATATGCAACCACCTACAAACCATCTTACACTAACAAGCAAGAGTAATGGCTCTTGTAGGAGAATGTTTTTACATTCATCTATTGATGTTTATCAAGTTTTTGTTAAAGATAATCTCTATCAAATCATCACAAATTATTATTATTCAATGCTAGGACAAGCCAGATCCTTTACCATGGCTTTTGCTTAGTTGTACGCTCTTAACAATTACGGGTTGTGGTAGAATATTTGTTTAAAAAAATCTACTCCATACTTCCAAAATGTCTGTAGTTCACCCAATTCACTTGTTTTATTATTAATTATATTTCTTTTTTATTGTTGTATTACATGCCAACTGATTTGAAAGCCCATATAAAGTCTAGAATATATGAAATCCTTAATATATACTTATGAATCATGTTACTTCAGAAGATGACTCAATATAGGATTTGATTTTTCACTTTGTAGTAAGAAGGCTTTCAAGTTAGTTACATGGTTAAGTGGATATGGATAAGTCTTGAAATTTTAATAACAAACTTTTACCTTCAAGGAGTTTGTGCCGCACGGCAGAACAGTCATCGCAAAGCATCCATCCCAGATCTATGGCAAGGGACACAACTGTTCCGCATCGGAAAACTCCCTATTGTATAAGCTGACGAACTTCGGTATCAAGGATGAGAGCCTACTGGAAACCAAGGATAGTGAGGACCAGGAGTGGTGGAGTATTAGAGAGGTCTACTATAAAGATAGCGATGGTATGCAAATTTTGTTGTTTATGGCAGTTTACTTTTTGTTTCTTTGTTTGATCATTTGCAATCAGTGCTATTATTAGCAATTGTGTTCACAATATCAAAGTCATTGAAGGTGAACCCTCCACTCTGAGTTTCTTCCCCTTAATTTACACATTACATCACTCTAAAGAGAGTACATATCTTTTTGTTGGTGCCCGTTGTTGCCTTGTGGTTTTACCTAAGGGTAGTTTTCAAAGCTATTATGGTACCTTAACATGGTACTTTTGATTGCCTCCTTTACCATGTTCATTGCTAGATGGTTGATCTCTTGTGCTTGTGACATACCAAGGAATATGCTATTCAATGTGCAAAATAATGTTTTGCATTCTTTGTAATATATATTGGAGTCACAGGAACTTTATAAGTAAGTTTCGTATAACCAGCCAGTGTAGTTTAAGTTTATTTTATACAAATGATTGAATATTGACATTAACAACTGGGCAGAACGAAAAGAAATTTAGTAAAAATCAAAGAAATAATTGCTTTTCTGCTGCATGTGTACAAATACCTATTATGCGTCTATTATCTTAAGTGTTCCTATAAAATTGATACTCATAGGAAAAAGAATATAGGTGTGAATTGTTTTGTTATTTTCTTTCTTGAAAACTTGCAATTTGCCGACTAGGTTATAAGGTGTTGAAGCAAAGTTGCAAAATGTAGTGTTACCGAAGGTTAGGACCTGATGTCCCCTTACAGCTAAGACTATATTATGCAGCATATCTCCTTACAATCTTCGGAGATAGTTGAGCTTGGCAACAACAGTATGTGTGGATATGGGTTAAAATGATGTCTGTACTTGACAAATTCTTGAATGTGTAAATATTAAGTAAAAATATTATGCATAGAATTTAAATAAACAAAAAAATGTCAAGAACCTCAACATGTAATGCTAATTTATTCCAGACTTTGATGATGATCCCCAACAAATCAAAGATCAAAAATGTGACTATGTCTCCGATTCGTTTCGTCCACCAAGTCGCTTAAAGAATGAGTTCAACATGTCCATAAAATCTGAATTACTTGGAGGAGTAAAAAAAATGGAGACAGATTGCAACTCTGGTGGGCCATCACGAGGAGGCAGTGCCAACAGCTCCAGTAATTTGTCCAAGAAATTTAACCTGAATAGTGGACAATGCAAAAGTCCTAATAAGAAGCCATTAAATCCGAAAACTGATTGTTCTTATGAAGAGGAACTGTATGTAAAAGGCTGCACTGCTGTTTGGTCCAAAGGTATGTTTTGGTTTCCCAGCCAGATTTATTTTTTTTGTTACAATATATAATTATTATATATAATATATATATTATTGTATATTGTACCACACACAAAATACAAATCATTTCTAATATTACAGTGCTACATATGCTCTTCTTACAATGCTATCAGATTTGACTTTGACATATTCTCTGATTCTGTGGTGTCTGCTAGGAACTCAATTAAAAAGTGTCTTATGCGCTTACTTTAGGATTTCGTTATGTTATGACGTTAGAATTTGTTTTATATTTAGAATGTTCATCAAATCGGGCACATTCTTCTCGTATCTCGTATCATGTTCATCAAACACTTTCACCTTATTTTAGAATTGTATCCAATTTTGTATACCGAACAAATAAAAAAAAACAAAACTGAAATGCAGTAAATATCATTTTTGGCTATTATATTGTCATCACAAAAAATGGGAATTGGTTGAGTGAATAATGCCTCTCCTTGAAATCCTGCAATTGTTATTTTTTGCTCTATTATACTTTTGAAAATTAATAGCTTAATAGTTTTGTAATTGTAAATAAAAATACAACTATTTTATTTTGATTTTTCGCATTTTATTTTTAATCTTCCTGGGACATCAGAGGAAGGTATTACCACTCTATGCGAATTACTTAAAGTTTATGTAAATATAGAGTATATTTTATATCTGGTCATCACATTTGTGTAACTATGCTATGTCACGTTCTTGTCTCATTTATAGATTATCTGTTACTGAAACCGTATCAAATTTATTTCCCCAGGTCTAATCTCAACTCCAGCATCCAAACTGTCAGGTCCAGAACACAGAGAGACAATTTCATGCTACACCATAGAAAACCCCATAAAGCACGCGACTTTTGCAAATTTCCATGTATCAATTAACAACACAATGCTCATAGATGCTCTAAACTCTCAAATAGGTGATGTTAAGAAGAATATAAAGGTGGAAGATACAACAGAACATATACAATCGAAAGTTATGCCTTCAATTTTGTTGCTAGACAGCAAATGTATGAGAGTATATGCAACTGATGGAAGAGAGTATGTAACCAGTGTACCATTTCAAGTAAAAAAAGTCTGGCCCATGAAATATGGTGTGCTTTTGGAGAAAGATGCAACACCATTGCTTCACAACTCCTTCCTACCAACAAGCTTCATAAAATTCAATGAATCTCATAACAGTACATTCTCCAAATCGAAAAGTAACCATCCTTTTAACATGAGCGCGAAATTACGTGCAGAATCTGTATCCGGTTATGACCAGGACGTTCCCTTGCCTACATGTTTCTCATTGTCTCATCCTTTGGACGAAGTCACGCCTGTATTAATGAAATCACCTACTCAAGGGCTACAGTATTACAATGACGGTGATTTGCAAATCATATTTGTCAGTACCAATCCTAGCATAATACTGTTATATGACTGGAAATTGAGCATACATTCATTGTGGAAGATCCGGAAAGCTACGAGAGACGAATGTCTTTCCATCTGTCCTAACATGAACTCAACAACAACAGTATTCAGTCAATCGTGTGACTTTATTGGGAGTCCTATGCACAGTAATACTGGTAAGAACACTACGAACTGGATGACCGGTATAAGTAGCCCATTGAACACGAGAAGAGGGCCAGGAACTCCTGCAACATCCCGTTCGAGGCTGAACAGTCCGATGGCGAATATCTTTCATCAGCAAGGAATGTCACCTCATGCGTCAATTGGTCAGGCATCCTCGATGTCAATGATGGCAAATACAATGACTCAAACTCCTCCATCATTACCGTTATACCCAGACGTGTGCTTGGATCATATTTGGACTGACAATCAAACCGTTCGAAGAGATCCTTTGGATAATCCAAACGATACAAAGACGTTCTTGCATACGGATTTAGTTGGGCATGATTACTTATGCTTCATGCTGAGATCGGGTGGTGTAAGCAAGCTTCATATTGTGAGGTTACAGAAGTCCCATGCACATGGACAGATGTCGAAGACGAATTTGATAGTGGGTACAGTATCTATAGTGTTGGCGAAAGATGCTGTGGTTTTGAACCATTTGAAGATGATTGCTTTGATTGATGAAGCTGGGAACATCATTTTGCAATCTGGCAATCATGCTGTTGGCAAGGTAACACATTTAACTTACACAAATTGTTATAAGTGGACATTGTTACGCAAGAAGGATCCAATCCACAAAATTATCAAAAAATGAGTTATATGTATTAAACGGTTCCTAAAGTCTAATCTCTTAGATCAGCAAAAATATCCAACATATAAACATAAATATCTCTGGAGTTACGTGACATTATAAGTTTTGAAAATAAAACAACAGTGAGAATCACTTTTAAACTTCAATCTCGAAAGTGACTGGATGTGCATTAGATACTTTTTGTTTAACTATATCCAAGTGTCGTGGTTATTCATTAAAAGATTAGCACTTAGTAGAGGTTTCTTACCAAAACTTTTTGTTTTTCGGGTCACTCGGCCACCGTGGAGCCGTATGGTAACCCTTCTGAAATGTAGGTTGAAAAATAAGAAGTTATTGCTTTTATAAGAAACAAATTAACGTTTCATTGAATAACTACGACATTCTAAAAATTTGTATATTGAGTGTTTGATTTATCGGGAACTATATAAAACTATAATAAATTATAATGCCAATGCTGATATTCGAACCGCAGACCCCTCTTAATTACGAAGCAACCGCTCTCGCACTAGGCCATCGCGGCTCTTAATTGGATTTTAATGATCTGTTTTTCGACGTACAGCTGCATATAGGTGGCGTACTCGCGCGGCTGATCGATTCGCCGTACACGAAGCGCGGCACGTTCCAGTCGCCGTTCCCGCGCCGGTCCAGCCTGTTGCCGTCGCGCCACGACGCCACCTTCGACGACTCCGCGCTGCATCTGCTGTCCCCCGTGCCTCACACTTCCAGACAGGAGCACAAGGAGACTTTGGGTATACATTTTTTCATTCACTGTCCATGTTGACTACCTCCGTGGCCGAATGGACCGGGAGAAATATTTGTATGGCCTACATTTATTTCTTTCGTGATTTTGAGTGTAAGTTGTCTATGTGTGTTTCCATGGCACCTGCGGTACCGGGTTACCCTAGTGCATTAGTGTATTAGTGTGGGCAAAAAAAGATGCATTTTAACAAAAAAATGACTTGTTTATTGGTACATTAACAGTTATTACAATAGTACATACAGTAAATTAAATGTGGTGGGGATCTTATATAATTGCACAACTAACAATGATACAGCTCGCAAAAGCAACGTAAAAATACAGAAAAGCAAGACTCCCATACCGTATTAAACTAAAACGAGAAATATGAAAGGAAATTCTATTGGGCTTTTTTGATTAATTAATTTAATAGTCATTTATGTATCACATTATATATTAATATAAATTTGTTTTCTTTTTACCCTACCCAGACTTTACAATTATCGTCAACCTTACCCGGTAATGGGGCGTACATGATTAATATGATAATTGTTTAACTTTCCCCGTTCCATGTTTGCCACAGTCTACAATTCATTTGAAATGGAATCCCAGAAATTCGAGGAGTAAACTTAAAGATTGTCCACATCCCTAAGTGTCGTACGTGATATATCTAGGGTCTGCGGACTAAAGCACATAAGCCAAAATAAAACATCATTCATTTAAGTTAATACATCTAAAGCCCATAAGTCAAATTCATTTGTTACTTCATAAATTTGTAACTTTATTCTAGAGACGTTTTTTTCAAATTTATCATTCTCTTCACATCTGAAACACTATGAACAACACAAAAGATATGTAATTATATATTAACAAATGAAGCATTTTTTGATTCAACCTGCAATAACAAACAGTTATTAAATTAAAGTTAGTATTAGGTTGGATTTTTTGGGTATTGTAAACTAAGACGGCTGAGAGCGTTATGTGTTAGAAAAAAACAACAATATTTTACTGTGATCAGCGGTTTGTTGCAATGTAATGTTTAATAATAATAATAAGACATGTATGAGTAACTTACAATAAAAAGGTTAACAGTTAACAGTTTCGGAAATGTGGAATCTAGTGCTAATGAAAAGAATGGAGCCTCAGCACTACATGCTCTTTTTCAGCTTCCACCTTCATACATGGACATCCGCTGCTGACAATTATCAAACTTCACAAGAATATACATTTTAAATTTGTAAGACATGCTTAAAATAAATTTATTATTTCGATTAGCACACGAGTATATATATTACAAGTAAAAGAACATTAAATACCGGATACAAACGGTTCTGGAACAGGTTGTTACTTCTTACATACTTTTAAACTTACTTAGGTTGCAAATAATTTGATGGCCTCCGTTGCTTGCAAACCGGTTTTCATGGTGTCGCCGTCTCTGAGGTCCCGGGTTCGATCCCCGTCCGGATCAGTGTAGGAAACTAACTTTTCTAAAGAAAACAAACTAACTTCTTTAAAAGAAACGATTTGCTACGTTTGAATGCAATTACGATAACATTTAATGTTCTTGTAGGCCTCCGAGGCCTCCGCGACGCGGCTGGCTCCCGCGTGACGCTGCAGTTCGAGGGCGGCGCGATGTACCGGCTGGCGCTGCCGGCGCTCACTTGCTCCGCTCTGGTCTCGCGTTGCTGCCAGGCCTTGAGGGCCATACTGCCCAAGGACATCACCATGCAGGTCCACTTGAGACTTCTGCTTTATTTATATTGTTCTAATATTTTTTGTTATATTTTGTTATTAGCCACATCGAATATATAACCACAAATAGAGACGAAATGTCATTTAATTTGTTTGAAAACTATTCTGCCAAATCATTACGGTGACAACTGCGCTCCGATTGATTGGCCAGCCCGAATGTGACGGATGTCGTCAATTGTCAATTGAAAAATTACGTATTTAATATTTAATTACCAAAAAAATGTAATTCCTTTTGTTTTGTAATTAGATGTTTAGCTGTGTTTCCCACACCACCGAATGGAACAGCCCCCCATAGTTAGTGATATTATCTTTATTACAATACATACAGAATATTTTTGGAATATACGGAGACGTACTGTGGGTGCGTAGCTTTGGTTATAGAGCAGGAGAGGTACCATTTAATATTAAACGAGGAATAATAATCATAATTAAAGATTTACTGTGAGCCTGATGTTCCATTGACAACAAACATCTTTTTTTACACTGTTCTAAATATAAAATCATAATACAATCTATCCAGGCTGCGCTATAATACACACAGGTCAGTTGTTGGCGCTGTACTTTTTCAGCTTTCTGAAATTTGTGATTTCAGTACAAACGAGAGTTAATATTTATAAGTGATATAGGCCCATTTGCCTGACGAGTTGCCAGGGATGGATGGCCCTTATTTCGTCTCCATTTCTGGTTATACACCCGGTGGGTAGCCACGTTGAGACAACAGATACTGGTTCGAGTCTAGTCGGATCGAAGGAATTTTTATTTCTGGTTATTTGATATTTATATTAATAATAACAGTCTGAGGGTCGTATTCCAGAACTGTACTCAATGCTCAAGTCAGGATTTGAGCAGTCTTGAGTTTTCAAGCACTGGAAATACGACCCTAATGGCAAGGACTTGAGTATGATTTCTATTGCTTTGAATCATACTCAAGTCCTGACTTGAGCATTGAGTAGAGTTCTAGAATACGACTCTTGGACAGACTCTAATTGCACAAACAATATGCCTAAAATACAGTGCCACTGTCACGAGATTACCGTTACAGTTGTCGCTAATGACCGCGTAAATTACTCGACAATTTTGTATGGCAAATTATACAGCGCCCCAAGGTTATAAGAAGAAATAACATTTTGTATAAAACTCTACGCGGTCGCTAGCGATAACAGTCAACTGTAATATCCGTAAAGTAGAGGCACTGACACCCATTTACTTAATTTAGGCATCGCAACTACGCTATTACAGTTGTAATATTTAACTGTACAGCTTTATAAAGATTGCATAACATTTAGGTACCTTTTTATTAATTTTAAGACATCCTATTGTCCTTTAGTATGAACGTCTTCTTTTCTACCCATTTCGTCATCAATATATATAAAGTTTCTTAATTTGCTTTTTATTTTCTAAATGTTCCAAAAATATAGTTTCTGTCATGTTTATGTTTTAAATATAGTTAAAGTATTTAAATACGTATATAGAAACAACTACAATATGATTTTTTTGAGAAAATAATTTGTAGCAAAGACTGAGTCTATATAACCTCAAATGGCTTTGGTTGGTTCGGCATAACAGTGTAAGTGTTGAATCAATAACTTTGGAAAAAAATATATATTAAAATTGAGGATTATACACTGATTACTATACATGTGAAAACAGGATTTTTAAAAATTTTCACGATAGAAAGAAAACACGAATGAAAACTCGAAATTTTCGAAGAAAACAGCTGTATTCAATAGTACTTTAAATGTACCAATGATTTTTTTAACATCAACTGAACTAACCGCCGCCACTCGACCTAAACAAAATGCACCGTATTAGTACGGGAAAAATTTTAATTTGAGCTTAGTGTCAATTCTTAATAGGAAATAATAATTTGTCGCCAATGTACTTAAATTTCAATAAATACTACGCATATTCAAATATAATTAGTTCCGTGAAGTCCTGAGATTTGAAGTAAGGAATGTCCACGTTCTTCTATAGTTTTGCTAATTTCACTCCCTCAGTTCTGATCACTGGTTATAATGCAACAAATTTATTTCTATTTCTTATGGTTTTGTAGAAAAGTCCTTGAAAAAAAGAGATGTCCATACTTAAACATCGCTTTTGTTTCCAGGTTATAATAAGATGGTACGGGGCTCGCAACGCACCGGGCTCCCAGGACCTGTCTCCGCAGCAGGAATGGGCCATATTCTCGGATTTATTGCTCGCTTTGCTCGGCTATGACGTAGACAAGCTGACTCGTCCAAAACAGAACGATGACCAGGTATTGAGAAAAATATATAGAATACCTATAGAAAAATATATACAATACCAATTTACAGCGTCTTTGAGAGACGTTTAAAGAGATTAACATTCCTACACTAACGTCACAGTACATGTATGAAAATGTTATTTATGTTAAGAAAAATATTAATTTTTTTTAATGAAAAATAGTAACATACATAATATTAATACGAAGAATAAAAATAATGCTGTAGCTGTTCTTGCAGTCGTCTTTATAAAGTCTCAAATTCGTTTAAGGGGCAATGTATACGCTTCTATGATAACATTCCAATTGATATTCGAAATTTGCCATTTACGAGGTTTAAAACTATTGTGAAACAATTTACTGTACCTGTACCTGTACTAATTTTTTTACAACTTCTGCGTATTGTGGTAGTGGCCCGTTTAGATTTCAGGTATTCTCGATCTAAGATGTTTAAATTAAATATTGTAATGATAATTGTATTCAAAGTATATTCGAAAAGAGCAACCCCTAGAGTTTCTTGCTCATTCTTCTCAGGGGAATCTGCCGTACGACTGAGCAGTAGAGTTTATCAGTATGACGGTTTCAAGTGTAATTTGCTTACCTACGAAATAAAGATTATTTGACTATTACAAGGGATACACATAACCTTAAATGTGTGCTTGTTTTTGTCGTCATCATCGTTTACCGATTATATCGATACCTCTAAATAACACTATGTAAACAATATTATGCCCCCGCTCCCAAAAAATTTAATTCGATATAATCTCCGTAAAGAGTACTAAAAAAACCGACCTCAAAAGTACGTGGAATTACATCTATTTGCCAAGTTTTATTGAAATCGGTTACAGGAAAGTGCGCAAACCCGGATTCATCCCCTAGTTCGCCATTATACGGGACTTCACACAGGAGATAATAAAAATCGGTTCTCACTACTCAAAGTATATTCAGAGAGAAAAACGCCTTGAATTGGAGAATAGCAAAATTAACCATTAAAATAATTGTTCCTTATAGTAAAATTTAGGCGCTATTTGTAAAAATAAATCTTCATGCGTGAACAGCCACCCTTAGAGGTAGATGATTTTCTTCAAAATTAAATGTGACCACTATGGAGGTACCCTCTTTCCAACAAAAACAGAATCATCAAAATCGGTGCACAAATACCGGAGTTATACATGCAAAAAAACATACAATCGAATTCAGAACCTCCTCCTTTTTTAAAGTCGGTTAAAAAGAAAATAAAAAACTAATTTTGCGAAAAAAGAATAAAGAAACGAAAAAAAACTGAAACAGAGTCAACCAAAAAATTTTGTAGGCGTAGTGTTCATTGGAAGAATCGATAATATGTTCCACTGCTGGGCACGTGTCTTCAGTGGGTTTAGGCCGCAGTCTATCAAGCTGGCCCTATGGATAGGCTGCTACCGTTTGCCAGAACAGTCACAGAACATGTTATTTATTATATATATATATCGATGACGATGTTTTAGAGATAACACGTTGTTCTGGCAAACGGGCGTTTTACGCATGCAGCAGCGCGCGTATAGTTAGTAGTCAAGCACCCTGAATTTTACCAACGCGACGTCCTGTATTTTTCACAAGAGTCAATTATGAGGATTAATTCCTTTTAAATGACATAGTATCTCAAACTAAAGGAAGTCCATGAAATTTTACATTTAAGTTCAAGAAAATATCGTCGGTGTTTTCAGAAATTTTTTCTGGGTAGCATGTACTAGTTTTTGAGCACTGTTTTAAAATATTTACGTCCTTACACGAGTTTGAAGTTAAGGCTATTTAAAGTGAAGTTTTGTTATGGCTTCGTAGGTAGAAAACGCAGAAGTGGCCACTAAGAAGCAGCGCACATCCAGTGACGGCACACTCGAAGATTGGGACTACTTATTAAACTCGAAAATACACAAAATGATAGGCGTGGAACTCGCATCAATACTGAAGATAAACTCACCATCAAGCACAGCCTCGGCCTCCAATCCACGGCCTGTTACCGACGAGAAACAAGCACAATTCAACACAAACGCTTTATTGTTCCCTTATACAGTTCAAGTGTTATACGCCTTCCATTTAGTGTACGAAGAAATCAAGCTAAATACTCTTTTATGGAGTGATTTGAGACAGCTATCACAGTTCTTGTATCAAATAGCAAAAGATCTAAAATTGGAGAGCTACGTCAATCATTACTGGTTGGACTTCCCTGCGGACTTGCATCTCGAGTTCGACGTGAACGACAGTCAGATGACATCGACTGTATTGAAGAAGTTAACTGAACCGACTTACTTCTCCGCGGAACCACTTAGTGTGTTTCAATATCTGAATGCGATGTTGAAAAACATTGATGCCGGGTGTTACCCTTATTTGATCGACGTGAACAATATGTCACGGGATGTTATTGAGGTAAGTAATAGCGTTATTTGTTATTTTATTAATTTTTATTAGTTTTTTTTAACATACCAAGTAACGGGACGAACAAGTCGTGCGCCTGGCGGTGGTAAGTGTCATTAGTTATTATTTTTTGTAGCAGTACGAAGTACTGCTAACCTTACCTATTTCTGCCGCCAAGCAGTAACGAGAGCATTACTGCGTTCCGGTTTTGAAGGGTAAGGGTGCTGGTGAAATTACAGGCACGTCTGACTTCAACTAATGGGTGATGGGCGCAGTGGCAGTGCACCTCAGATCTTTGCGATTTAAAGTTCTGAGTGGCAATGCAACTGTTATGGACAGGCTTGTCGTTTGCCATCAGGCGCACGACTGTTCGTCCCATCGCTCAGTATAATAAAAAGACGAGCTCCTATACTGCCACTAAAGCCCCGGTTTCATAATGCACTCTTCGGTGCAGTGCAACCCGAAGTAGGTAGAGTATGTGGGGACGCCGTAGTGCGGCAAGGACCGGTTGTGACGCGAGACGGTCGGCAGGTCCTGGGCGTGGCGGGGCTGGGCCGGGGCGCGGGCGTGCAGACGCTGTCGCGCTGCGAGGTGGCCAGCAGCACGCCGAGGGCGCGGCCTGCGCACGCGCCGCATGCTCCGCCGCACGCGCGCGCGCTGGCCGCCGCCGTCGACCGGGGTAACATTTATTATCTTTCACTTCTCATGCTCTTAAAGTGCGTATTTATGCTGGGTGTAGGCTGCATAAAATAGGATTTTATGCTCTAGTGCATAAAATAAAAAAACCATCACATTAAATGCGTCTAATTGTTGTAATTTTACATTCAATTTTAATTAAATAATCGTTTATTTGTAATGTTGCTGTTTAATTTCCTCGCAATCGAAGTGAAAAGCAGAGTGTATATATATAGAGCATTTTACCCTCGACTTAAGTATATATATATACTCGTATCGGGTGAAATGACGCGTTTTATGCACTTCTTGTACAATCTACTATATTTATTCTTCTCTTTGCTTCACTTCTCTATTTCTTTATTTTCCGTCATCAGCTAGCCTACTTCAAATTTTGAATAGATATTGTTGCTTCAATTGTAAAAAACTGAAACTGTGAAAATCGAACTCGAAACTCTACATTTGAAAGTTTTTATTCTAAAATCTGTGACCGCGCAGGGTTGATGAATGACTTGACCTTCCATAATTTCATGTGTTGAATGCATCTGTAAAATAAAAAAGAAACCTGAATCAACTACAATTCAGTGTTCGGTTTGACGTGGAATGAGTCAAATGCATAAAGGAATATTGCTACAAGTTGGTACAATTAAAAAGTTTTGAAGTTCTGGCAACACAGATGTAACTATTTATACGTAATGGAAAGTACGTCCCGGTGCTTACCTGCTCTTGTTGAGCCTCGACCATGCAGCCTATTATTTGCGCTTGCTATCGCCACATATTCTTTGAAAGCTTTATCAAATAAAACTGAGAAAATATGCTAAAGTCACGTGTTGTGCTCATTTCAGTGAATTCCGAACTTAAATTGCTTGTAAACTTGGCAATTTCGACATACGATACTTTACGTAGGAGAGGTCGTATTAGTATAGCCTGTATTTAACGTAAGCAGGGAGTGATTTTATACGATTGTACCTGTTTTTATATCATTGTTTTGTTATAGCCTTTGCGCCTTTACTTTACGTGTTCTTTTCCCTTCTTGTACTCTTTATTTTTTTCTACAATAAAGTTCATGTGGACCGGGCCTCGTATTTAATTACGCGAGTCCCGCGTGATAACCTTGCTTAATATAGCCAACAATAAAAATTTTCGTAAAAATGTCTCGATACGCTATCAGGTATAACTCCCCGCGACGTGGAAAGCCTCCCACCCGGCGTGGGCCTCCTGCTGCTGACCGCTTTCGCTCGTTGCAAGAGCGAACCACCTGTCGACTGGGGTGCGGAGGCCTATACCCTAGTCATGAGAGACGATCTGGCGCTGCAGGCTCGCATCGCCGATACTCTTCGCTCCACCACTGAGTATATGGAGTGTGAGTTAACAACAATACATACTAAATAAATATAACTATAATACTTCAATAAGCGTGTGTTTTTGTAGTGGTAAACTCAGTTATGAAGCCACGAAACGAAGCAGCAGAACTTACGAATTCTATGTGCTTCTTGCAGTTCTTTGTTTTTGGTTTTTAACGACTTTTTACCGTAGCGCCATGTGTGAGAAATGTATTTCTTCACTCAGAGAGGTACCTTTACCACTACCTTTAACGCTACCATCGCTGACTAGAGATGTCGCTACAATTGTAATTTTTAAGTTTTATTGAATCTCACGATGTTTTTGCTCAGGTTTCATATTCGTTAATTTAAAGTTTGTTTTTAACCGCGCCCATGTACTCCACAGCCCTCTGTAGCTGAGTTATAGGACCCTGTTTGTTTTATAATAATTTTTAACCGACTTCAAAAAAGGAGGAGGTTCTCGATTCAACTGATTTTGTTTACATATGTTACGCGATAACTACGGCATTTGTGAATCAATTTTGATGATTCTTTTTTGTCGGAAAAAGAGACGTGGTCCCATTTAAATTTTAAGAAAATATTCCACTATAGTGCTCTGTGCTGAGATTATTATTACGTATTTAAATGTATTAGGTCCATGTGCCTTATTTCGTCTCTATTTCGGTTATATACTCGAAGTCGTGTTATCAGTAAAAACTAGTTCTTTACAATTTCTCAACATGGCAAGGCAAAGTTTCGATTCAGATCTTAATAGTAATTACTCACTTTGTAATTTCCAGCACTAGCCCTCGAAGTATTGGAAAAAGAGACAGCATATTCTCTCTGCCACCCTGCGGAGGAGCCGGTGCAGACCAAGGGCGAGGAAAACGACAAAGATAGCACCGGCATGGAACATTTGGACACCAAGTTGTTAAGACTGCTGTATCCTAGAGACCATCGGTATGTTCTCTTTCTGGACTTAATGAATGAGACGTAGAGAGATTAAACTAACGGTAACTCGATGGTAGTGAGACTATTTTCCGTTATTTGCAAAACTTTGTGATTTCTCTATTGAAGGTGATACCTAAAATTGCGTACCAATTACTCACGTCTTTCAAGTACTATCAAGACAGCTAAGTTTGTTAGGTCTTATTGTTTTTTAAGGACATTTGTTTGAAAGGGTCACTGATGACTAGATATCGAAATCTGTTTAATATATTTGTCTAAATTTCACAAAGATGTATTGGAGTGCACAATACCTTCTTCTGAAATCCCAGAATTATTGTATTCTTTTTTGTTTTGTGCCTACTGATTTGCTCGATTCTTGACGATCGTTATCATCTTTTCACTTATTAAATTAAATTAAATTTCACAGTGTCGTTCGACAAAATATACATTGTCGCTCTCGCTCGTCTGTCGCTCACACATTTAGCCAATTTTGTCAGATCACACTTGCCGATCGATGCTACCTGGCTGAGCGAAGAATTTTTTTTACAATATCAAGTGACAGGGCGCACAAGTTGAAATGCCATTTAGAGCTTTAAATCGCAAAGATATAAGATCTTGCACTGCCACTGCGCCCGTGAAATCTTAATTTTGAATCCTCCTTCAAATCCTTACACTTAGATACTCGTTCGATTACGATTGAAATTTTCGATTTACTAATCAATTACAAAAACTTTAATTGAATAAATTGAATGTATTTTTTCGTACATAGTGCTATGCAACCATAGAGATGTCACAGTTGTATAGTTGAAAAATAATCTCACTTTTGGACTACCATTTTTCAAATACGATTTTACGATTCTATTAAAATGAATATTGTTGGAAAAGTGATGAGATGTCAAGTCGAAATCTTCGAAATATACGTGAAAGTGTTCTTATTCGATTTGTTGGGTGATTGCTTTACAATTTTAACCTAACAGTTTTGTTTAAAATAATAATAATAATAAAAAATAGATTGGAACAGACTATAATGTGCTATTACAGCATGAGCGAAGTATTCAACCTGCTGCAATCTTCGACACCAGTCACGATAAACCTGACGCAGCGGCCGGAGGTGTCCGACCACGACTTCATCGAAGAACAGGAGAAGCATCTACACGCGTTAAGCACCAGGACCATGGCATTACCGGTTGCGAGGTAACGATACCATCATCATCGTCCACCCATTACACGTCCCACTATTGAGCATGGGTGAAGGTTTTGTGTGAAGGTTTTGGCTGTAGTTTAGCTACGCTTCTTTAAAGTCTAGGTTTCATCAAAATGTTTTCTTTTCGATCGTTAACGAGAGGTGTTCCTAGTAAATATTCACAAATCTATCTATCTTTGAAGACGGAGTAAAATGACATTTGTAAGGTTGCCAGTTGCCATACAATTTTAAATACTTATGTAGTTGTTGTCGATAGTTTTATCGATTGATTGTGAAAAAAGATAAAATTACGCCAAAAAATTACTCAATTGTGAATGTTACGACGTTCTAATGATTACTAATTGTGTTATTACCTTCTTTATTCTTATTTCGACAGTTGGCTTACTAGTATCGAGATTAATTTTTATTGTTATTAATTTTTTAGTCTCATGAAATCCTTTGATTTTAATTTATGTACTTCTTCCAGAGGCATGTTGACCCTGCGAAGTCTACCCTGTTCACCAACGGAACCGCTCTCCCTCCCCAAACTGAGCGTCTCCGGTCGCGGCCCGCCTCCCCGCTGCAACACCATATCTCTACCAGCGGGTGACAGCTCCCCCAATCAACTGTTATGGCCCACTTTTCATAACGGGGTGGCCGCAGGACTGGCGCTGGTCCCCATGACTGGTTCTAGTATTGATTCCAGCTGGATCATTTATAATAAACCGCGGGTATGTACAGCCGGTGATCGTATTCATTATAACAAACGACTGTAACAGAATTGTAGGCAATAAATCTATAGCAAAGATTCCTAAGCTTTCTGTGTTTTGTATAGTATTTTCACAAAATAGACCTTATGATGCCTAAGACAGTTTCCCTGTATATTCTGTGGTTCGGATTTATCCATACGGTCCCAGTTAAAAAAATAAAACAGGCTTTATTTGACATGCATAAATTTCAAACAAAACAACAAAAATAATGATTAAAAAAATAAAAGCATGTCAATAGGGTCCATGACTCAGCCTCTGAGAACTATGCTAATTACATAGCTCGCGCTGTTATTCTCACGTCGCCCATCATGATATGGAACAGAACAGTTCAAATAACATATATATTAAACAAAAATCAAAATTAAAATAACTGTAGACAATTAGGCACTAAGTAAATAAAATTAGATACAAGCAACAATTAGACAAAGAAAAAAAGTCAATTTCAGTAATAAACAATTAATTTAAGTAGCAAAATACCAACCATACTCAAATACTCAGAACAGATATACAAAAATAAGCTACTTCTTAAAGCCAGCGTCCCGAGATTGCTTCGATCGATCGATCGGTCTGTGTAACTTGACGTGAACTGGGATCGCCTGACTCGTGTAGTACAAGTCCTCGTGTACTATTATAATATGCAATAATCAATACAACATTTCAGGGCACTACAGAAATGTCAGCGGAGCACGCAGGCTTTCTGATGGCACTAGGTCTCAACGGGCATTTGCGTGACATGCCGTTCATGAACATCTACGAGTACCTGATCAAGTGCAACGAGATGATCTCCATTGGGCTACTGCTCGGCCTCGCCGCTACTTACAGAGGTGCTTTTTCTACTTTTTTAGTGGTTTTTTGGAATTTGATTCCCGATAAAGTTTTTGGTTCCCCTGGATTGAATTGATGACAAATACTTAAACTTAAAACATATTTCGACCCCTCCTATGTAAAGTATCGTATGTCAAAATTGCCAAGTTTACAAGGAAGCGTCTTAAAGTTTTGAATTCTCTGAAATGAGCATAACACGTGACTTTACACACACACTTAACACACGCATTTCTCAGTTTAATTCGGCAGAGCTATCGGATATCGGTTAGATAAACAACCACAATTTATTTTATAATTTTATACTGCCACCCGACCCGCCCAGGCTCACTTTACTTTTACCCGCTTGTTGACCCATATCTGCATTAGGATAAAATTATAAAATAAATTGTGGTTATTCGTCTAGCCGATATCTAGGATTTTATAATACTCTATGTGAGTAATGAGGTGTGCCAAATAAAACTGAGAAATGCTAAAGTCATGTGTTGCTCATTTCAGATAATTCAAAACTTTAAAACACTCCCTCGTAAATTTGGCAATTTCGACATACGATACTTTACGTAGGAGGGGTCGAGTTGACTGTATTTTTGTGGGTATGTTACGTAATTACTCATGACATTTGTGAACCGATTTCGGTGATAAGAATCATCGAGTCTGTTTTTGTTGGAAGGGGGTACTTAAGCAGTGGTCCCATTTAAATTTGAAACAACTATTCCACATCTGAGACTGGCAAATTAAGGGATGAATCCGATTTATTGGAGTTCACCCACTTTACGTTAACCAATTTCAATAAAACTTGGCAAATAGAAATAGACTTCCACAAACATTGGAGGTCGGTATTTTTATGAAAAAGTTATAATTTGGGATCTAAATGGCGTATATTTATTTTTTCAAATTAAATGTTCTAATAACTAGATGTAATATATTGTGTTGGGCGTGGATATTGAGTATATAACCAGAAATAGAGACGAAATAAGGGCCTTTCATCCCTGGCAACTCATCAGGCAAATGGGCCTTATATCAACTCTCCTTTGCAGTGAAATCACAAATTAGAAAGCTGAAATAGTACAGCGCGAACAACTGACCTGTTTGTACATCTCTGTATATTCCAAAAATATTCTGTATTTATTGTAGTAAAGATAATATCGCTAACAATGGGGGCTGTTCCATTCGGTGGTGTGAGAAAAAGAGCAAAACATCTAATTACAAAACAAACGAAATCGCATTCGTGATTGACAAACGGATACACATCAGTAATTAAATAATAAATATGTAATTGTTCAATTTTCGTCCATTATAGCAAAGCTTAAACTGGTCGATTTGAAGTGAAACAATTGACGACACCCATCAATTGTTTCGAACTCGGGCTGGCCAATCGGAGTGCAGTTGTCACCGTAATGATTTGGCACAATAGTTTTCTAGCAAATTTAACGACGTTTGTGGTGGACTAAATCATCAGTAAAAAAATACATTGTGGCTTATCCAGGCACTATGGACGTGCAAGCGACGAAAATGATGAGCGTCCACCTAGAACCCCTCCTCCCGCCCACCTCCATCGAGCTGGACATGCAGCAGAACATCCTGGTCGCTGCCCTGTTGGGAGTCGGCCTTGTCTACCAGGGGACTATGCACACACATTATGCCAGAGTGTTGTTGGCCGAGATCGGTGAGATCATATTGCTTAACTGCTGCTTTATGCGTCATCTGTGGCATCTTTTTCTTAATTATCACGAGTATTTTATATATCCAATATGATCTTATTCCAATTTACCACTACACTACTATAATTTTCATAAAAATAGTTTTAGTTGAAACAAAACTGGAGTTATTTTTTTATTATTATTTATTAATTTGCTGCGTATCGGTGACGAGGCGTCCATATAACTCCATTTTCGCCGGCTTGTCTAAAATATTGCACGTATCTGGCAGCCGGTACTATCTCAATTTTGACAACTTTACAGGATGAAGAAAAAATAATTTATATAGCATTTGGGTTATTAAATAGAAATACGTAGTGCACATACATACATCTGTAATAAAAATATTTAAAAACTACGTATTTTTATTTAATAAACTAGATGCTATAGAAATGGCGCAAACAATTTTTTTCTTCACATGTAAAATTGTCAAAATTGACATAGTATCGATTACCAGTTCAGTTAGTATGTCAATACTACATTTATTAGTGCTAAATTTTAAGTGTAGAACAAGTTAACCAGTGAAATGAAGTGTACTATAGTACCTACCTTGCATGCTAATAAGTTGTCTTGAAATGTTGCCAAGGCGCCACTGTTTCTTAAGGTAGGTGTTTCTTTTTGTTCCGGGTTTACAAACGACAAGCTTCACGCCTCGCCACTGCTGCGTATGGCAATCTTTTTTTCTATACCGGTTTACGGCATTGGAATTAATCACTTTAAGAAATATACTTGAGATGAAAATCTTTTATTGAAAATATTTTCAGCCAAGTATATTTGTTTAAGTACATGGATCAATTGATCAAGAGATCTGCTAATCTCCATACTATCGCGATCGTTTATATTCTCGAAAAATCGTATCACAGGTCACCACCTACAGGCACTTTTATGCCGATCTCAGGCACCAGTCTCTCAGCAAACTCATTAATCACATCACCTTGTATTGAGAGAAAATAAATAAGTAATGATTAAAAAAAGAGACGTGCGCAGGCAAGCCGCCCGGGCCCGAGATGGAGAACTGCGTGGAGCGCGAGGGCTACGCGCTGGCGGCGGGCCTGGCGCTGGGGCTGGTGTGCGCGGGCGGCGCCCGCCAGGGGCTGCAGCCCGACCACATGGCGCCGCGGCTCCGGACCTACATGCTGGGCGGCGAGAAGCTGCCGCTCACCGGTAAGCTCTCGTGTGCATTTCACCAGCACCCCCTTCTAAACCGAAACACAGTGATGCTCACATTACCGCTTGGCGGCAGGAATAGAAGTTACTGCCCTGGACGAACTCTTTCACAAGGACCTCTAGTGCTGCTACAGGTGTAACTTACTTGGCACTACCTAGGGTTCACGTGTAGGGTCTCGAGGGCCTACGGACGCGAACTATTTAACCCCCAAATTGAGATGTAGCTTGTCGTCTCGTAACAAACTGCAGTCCATTTCACATAGCGTGGGTACGGTGATGTTTGAGATTTGAAATTTCTAGAGATGTAGTTATCGAGATAGTTTTTAACGGAAGGAGACTTAGAGATTATAGTTTAAGAACATATTATAAACAAAATAAAAAAGATTCAATTATTATGTTATTAAGTTACTAAAAAATTACACAACAAATTAAAAAATTAACAACAACTACGAACAAATAATCAACAAAAAAGCATAAAATTAACAGTAACGTAACGAAATTTAAACATTATGCCAAAAACATCACGCAAAGCTCAAAACAAGGAAGTGTGATGCAAAATAAATAACACAATTAGTAACAGGAGAGACCCTTGTGAAAGAGTTCGGCCAGGGAAGTACTGCCACCTTACCTATTTCTGCCGCCAAGCAATAATGGTCACATGGTTCCGATTTTGAAGGGTAAGGGTGCTGGTGAAATAACGGGCACATGGGACTTGTTAGCTTATATATCAGGGTGACAGGCGCAGTGCCCCTCCGATCTTTGTGATTTAAAGCTCTGAGTGGCACTGCAACTGTCCAGTCACTTGGTAGTATAAAAAAAAAACGAGTGTTCTCGACACACAGTCACATGGTGTATGTACCACCAAAAATATACCCGACATGTATTTCACCTCCACGAGGCATCCTTAGGAGTTGTTGATTGATCGACACGCGGCCGAAGAATGAGGTCGATCAGAACCGTTGGTCATATTTACATCCCACTACAATTTTTCAAATGATAATGATGGTAAAACTAGGGTAGTAATGCTTGAGCCATTAATTATTACGAAACTCAGCCTGAACAGAATCGGTGTTGTGCGCCTGGTGGTAAGCGACACGCCTATCCATAACAGTTGCAGTGCCACTTTGAGCTTTTAATCGCAAAGATCTTAGGGGCACAACCATTGTGTCCGTCACTCTGAGACATAAATTGACAAGTCCCATTGCCCTTACCCAAACCGGAACGCAGTAATGCTCACATTACTGCTTGGCGGCAGAAGGTTCACTAGTAACTTGCTAGCTTTTACACAGTTACCTAATACATTCACACCACATTCTTTCCGCAGGATCACAGAAAGAGAAATACAAACAAGCCTCGTTCGCGATCCGCGAGGGGGCCACAGTGAACCTCGACGTGACGTCTCCTGGGGCTACATTGGCTCTGGGCCTTATCTACATGCGATCCAACAACGTGGCCCTGGCCGGATGGCTGGAACCACCTCATACGGCGTATTTACTGGACTTTGTGCGCCCTGATTTGCTCATGCTTAGGATTATAGCTAGAGGTGAGTGGTACAAAACAAAATATTGACAATGTTCACCGATCCTAATCTACGCAAATTAAACTCCTAACAATGATATAGGGTGTTTCAAAGAAATAATGTTTGTGTAATGAAAACCATTTAATTCATAATTTTGTGAAATAATAATGATTTGTATTTTTAAATCCAAAAAGAAAATCTGAAAATAATATTTTAATTCTGCTAAGTAAACGCTAAACATACCACGTGACATCATACACAGGTAAGCAAAGAAACCTCGCCTTACCGATCACGTCACTTCATCGATCGCGTTTAATCAATTTAAGAGGGAGCAGAGGAAAAATTCCTAATCTTCGATTTCATTTTAGAGGGGTATATCCACTTTTATGTAAAATATTGTATGAGTAACTACACGATATATTCAAGCATAGACACTAATCAGAAACATAAAACAATAAAGTTTCGTCGATAGATAAAAATCACGAAATGACCTCTAATTTTCACATTTTTTCGATTCATCCTCGAAATGCTACAGGTTATTAGGACAAAAATTAGATAATTAATTATATTTATGCATGATCGAGAACTGTCACTACGGATTTTTTTTAATCCCTTTAGTTTTAGAGTTATTCCGCTAAAACGAATTTGGTACTTTTAATGCGCAAAATTCAACATCTCCTGTCGCATGTCACGCGAACTTCAGGCATATATTTGTTTCACAAATTTGGGCGGAGCCAACGTCAAAACTTTTTTGGCATGCCCCCTCTGAACTGAAAATTATTTTTTTTTAGTAAGGACAGTAGGCAATCGATAAGTAAAATTTTGTTGTTTGTTTGTTTAGTTTACCTCTACCAATGACGTCATGCTGAGTTGACATGTAGTACCGTTTGCACGGCAATTTAAGAAATGTAAAAACTAACAACCTACTGTAATTAAGGCGATATTGTCAGGACTGGTGCTATGGGACAGTATAGAAGCGAGCGAGGAGTGGGTGGAGAACCAAGTACCGCCCAGCATCAAGCCATACTGCCTTGTCAAACCAACAGAGGAGAATGTCGACTACGAAGCTATGAAGTCAGTGTTTTCAAATTAAATTCTTTCTTCATGACAACTAGGTTATAAAGACCCTATAAGAATGCACTACGGTCCGCCTTGCGGCACACAAAGTGTTCATAATTTTTACGTGTATTAAGAACTATAGCAGGCTTAAAAAAGATCTGTCCTGCATATTGGGTTAAAACCCAATCCTAATAAAAACCTGTCCGAGTTTTGAACTCATTCCTGTCCAAAATCGTGGGCAGAAACGGCGAATACGGGATTTGGTATAATTCTATACTTGTTAAACATTTCGATGTAAAAAATGTTTTTTAGACGAGGCAACTCCACAAAATACTATAAACACCTTGCAATCCTGTATATTCTCACTACTTAAGGATGCATATTACGATTCAATTTTTATGGAGGTTGTTTCAAGTACATCCGATCTAACGATTTTATGTATTGACATATTTCAATGCGATTTTCAACCAAACCGATTCGATAGAAAGGCAAATCGATCTAGTCTAGATCAGAAAGCAATAAACATTTTGTAATAATATCATTAAATTTTAACAAAACTCGATTACAACAAATATTTTAATGTAAGTTGATTTTGATTTGGATCTCAGGCGTTAATGGGTTTTAACCCGATTTAAAACCGGCATTTACAAAGCGCCGAGTTAAAACGCGGACGCTTCGGGCATTATAGAATTTAACCCGCTTTACACCCGCAATTAACAAAGCGCTGAGTTAATGGGTTTTAACTGGATTTAAACCGGCGTTAAGAAACAGGCGTAAAACATGGCGCTTTGAACGTTAATAGGTTTTAACCCGATTTAAACCTGGCGTTAACTAAGCGCCGAGTTAAAACCCGGGCGCATATATTTTCCCGTGCGGCTAGGAAACCTTGTTGATCCGGTCCTCGGGGTCTACTCTCGATCTCCGTCCGACATCCGTCCGAAACAATTACTGTCAAATAAGTAATATTCCACAAAATTAAAAGACAAGTATCCAGTATGAAGCTTCATTCGCATCACGCGTCTTTCCATTTGGTCAAGTATTGCTTATTTGGCAGTAATTGTTTCGGACGGAGATCGAGAGTAGACCCCCTCGAACCGAACGGATAACGTCTGTTGCAGCCAAGCGTACTGCAACATAATAGCGGGCGCGTGTTTCTCGCTGGGGCTGCGCTTCGCGGGGTCGGGCGACGACGACGCCAGAGACGCCATCCTGCACTTCGTGCGGCGGTTCATCGCGCTGGGGGGCAAGCCCATCGCGGAGCTGGCGGGCCGCAGCACCCTGGAGGCGTGCCTGTGCGTGTGCCTGCTGGCCGCCGGCATGGTGAGCGGCCGACCGGCGCCGCCGAGCGCGCGGTCGCCGGCAGCGAGTGAGGGTTGCAATCGTGCAGGTGGCGTGCGGGCGCGGCGACGTGGCGGTGCTGCGCCTGTGCCGGCGCCTGCGCGCGCGCACCACGCCGCACGCACTGCACGCGCCGCTCACGCACGGCGGACAGGTACTGCTCGCGGCGTTGCGCGTTTCGGCTCGACGCTGTCATGAACTGTAATAGTAAGCCCGGAGTCGAACACAGGGCTTTCGGAGTCGAGGTTCGTAACTCCGGTACCGCCCGCGAAACCTACATACCGACCATGGCTGTGATGAGAAGAACAAAGGCCTGAGGGTTTTATTTGGGGCATTATAGTCAAGTTAACCTGCATGCAATCGTACTATGTACGTGCGACTGTGTTGAAAAATTAATTTTAACCACCTCTGTGGCCAAACGGTTACCGTGCTGCTCTGCCACGCAGAGATCCCGGGTTCGATTCCTGGGTTGGTAGAAATATTTGTATGACACGTACACGTACACCTACACGTGCACGTACACGTGACATGTACATTTATTTCTCTCGTGATTTTTTTTTGCGTATATTGTGATAGTCAATGTGCGTGCCCATAGCACCCGCGTTACACGGTTTCCCTAGTGCGGGGTTGTAAGTATCTGCGTTATTTATTTATTTTACGATTAATATTTGACTAACATTAACCAGGAATTGAAGCTGAGTACTTATATCCAAGACCATTTACATAATTGAAACTACTTCCAGGCTGTTGACCATTAGTAGTCTTTTTGCGTTGTAGGTCCATGGTAATATTATATAAAAATCACAGATGGCGGTGCACTGCACGATCGGTCTACTGTTCCTCGGAGGCTGTCGTGCCACGCTGAGTACCACGCCCACTGCCGTAGCGGCATTATTGGCTGCATTCTTCCCCAAGTTCCCTACCCACAGTGAGGATAACAGGTAATAGATTCACAATTCCTAGATTTTTTACGCGTTTAAAAGTTTGAAGCTCATGTTAACTATAATGAACTGCCTCCGTGGCCGTGATTACCTTTGTGTAGCAGTAGAGCTCATTGTGAAAGAGTTCGTCCAGGAAAGTACTGCCACCTTACCTATTTCTGCCGCCAAGCAGTAATGTCAGCATTACTGTCTTCCGGCTTAGAAGGGTGCTGCTGAAATTACAGGCACATGGAACTTGCCAACTTATGTCTCAGGGTGACGGGCGCAGTGGCAGTGCCACTCAGATCTTTGCGATTTAAAACTCTGAGTGACACTGCAACTGTTATGGACAGGCGTGTAGCATACTATCAGACGAGCGACAGCCGTCCCGTCACTTAATATTACCTAAAAAGACCGTGGTGGTCTGCCACGCAGTGCATATTCCCAATTGTCACCACAGGCTTTGTTCCTACTGGCGACAAGTGGGAAAAAAATCCCATATGTTACCAGGTGATGACAAACGTGATAAAAAAGTCTCAGTTGTTACCAGTAATGATTTGCAGTGGCGACAAATGGGAAAAAATCCCATATGTTACCAGGTGGTGACAAACAGGATAAAAAAGTCTCAGTTGTTACCAGTGGTGATTTCTACTGGCGACAAATGGGAAAAAAGTCCCATATGTTACCAGATGGTGACAAACGGCATAAAAAATCTCAGTTGTTGCCAGTGGTGATTTCCACTGGTGACAAATGGGAAAAAAACCCATATGTTACCAGGTGGTGGCAAATCGGATAAAAAGATCTGTTGTTGCCACTGGCGATAAATGAAATTGAAAATGTCCCAAGTGTTGCCAGTGGTGAACAAAAAATAATGGAATAATAAATTCCAATTATTGTTTGTTTATTGCCGCCATCGAAAGGGAATTATAGAAAAATAAAAATTGTATGATAAAAGTTGTTAAAAAAGTTAATAAAAAAAAATTTAAAAAGAAAACAGTCTTAAACATCTAATATTTCCAATCAGTCATCATCAGTTACAATGATTCAGATAGCCTGGACACTATAAATCTAAAACAACAGTTAAAATAAAATAAAATATATTAAACCACCGTAAAAATACTAAACATCAATTAAATAAATCTTTCGATTTAAAGACTTTCTGAATTTCTGTGATTTTTAATTATCGTAGGGTATTGGAAATATCGGACTGAATTTTTAAATAAGATCTATACTTTTATCATAAACTCGAATTTTATTTTATTCCCTTTCGATGGCGGCAATAAACAAACAATAATTGGAATTCCTTATTCAAATTGTTTTTTTTTAGCACTGGCACCTACTGGGACATTTTCAATTTCATTTCTCGCCAGTGGCAAGAACAGATCTTTTTATCCTAATTGTCACCACCTGGTAACATATGGGTTTTTTTCCCATGTCACCAGTGGAAATCACCACTGGCAACAACTAAGATTTTTTTGTCCCGTTTGTCACCACCTGGTAACATATGGGATTTGTTTTTCCCATTTGTCGCCAGTAGAAATCACCACTGGCAACAACTGAGCTTTTTTTATCCCGTTTGTCACCACCTGGTAACAACTGAGACTTTTTTATCCCGTTTGTCACCACGGTAACATATGGGATTTTTCCCACTTATCGCCAGTGGGAACAAAACCAGTGGTGACAACTGGGAATAAGTGCCACGCAGAGATCCCGGGTTCGATTCCTGGACCGGGAAAATATTTGCATGGTCTACATTTATTTCTTGTGAGTTTGTGTGCAATTTGCGATTGTCTATGTATGTCTCCATAGCACCCGTGATACAGGCTTATCCTAATGCGGGGTTATGAGTGTGTGCGTTATTATTATTATTATTTGTTTGATGAATAAAGTCCTGTTTAAGTTAAAATTATCAGATAGTTTACTTTTGTCAAGATATAACTCTATTTCAGATACCACCTGCAGGCTTTCAGACACCTGTATGTCCTCGCAGTGGAGCCTCGGCTCATTCTGCCCCGGGACCTGGATACCGGAAAACTATGCTACGCCCATATACAAGTACGTATATTCTTTCAAGAGTGTAGTAAAAGGCTGTATAAATAGTTTTTTTTTTTTACAGAATTTTTCTTTATGCAAATTCAACAGTTCATTGACCTTTAAAAAAATAGCCGATAAAAGTACTTAAGAGTCTATTATCTTAAAATTTTTCCCATATTAATACGGTTCATTTTGCTTGGGTCGAGCAGCAGGTAACCTGGCTTTATTACTGAATATTTTTTTACGAACGAAATTGAAGCCATTTGAAAAATGTGTGTCGTGTAATATATGTGTTCTATTCAGTACAGTTGATTTAACCTTTAACTGCCGTTGTGGTCTAAACGCGCCACTAACAACGAGGTTACGTCTGAGAGACGTAGATATTTGAAAAACCATAAAAAAAAAAGTATTCGTGTTATTTAATTTATAACAACCTATAAAAATACTATAGTTAAAGGGCTTATAATATATGGATAGTCAATAAAACAATTAGTTAATTTTACAACAAATCAGCCTTCATTAATGAGATCACAAGTTTTATTTGAACATTTTTAGGAACTTTTATTAGAAATATATATTTTTTTATTCATACACATTTCAGTAGAAAAAAACTTAAAATTTTACTCTTCTATAACTAATAAAATAAAATAAAAAAGAATCAGCACAAAAACTTAACAAAAAAAAAAACTGACACACAATCAACTTAGCATATTTATGGCTTGCAGCTATTGCATATTTGTAGGCAACATGTAAGGCACATGGGTTTCTTGCAGAGACAACATGAATATTTTGTGCGTCTTTTTAGTCGACTTGGACAAATTGCACAGGTCTTCCGAATACCCAGCTGTTCTTGAGCATACGCTCGGGCAGGAGGCGGCGAGGGCATATCTTTAGGGCCAATAACTCGTTCAATGGAACAACGTAGTTCTCGCGGGATCCGATCATTATAAACGCGCAATTTCATCTCGGGCAAAACTAGTTCCCTTGCAAGTGAGAGTAAAAAGCAACCCCGCGTTAGTTTTTTTACGTTATTGCACTTGTTATAGAGCACATATGCGTTGACACCGCTCATGTCCATCAGTCTATAAAACAAAACCATGGGCCATCGTCGCGTTCTTCGAGAGCATGAGTAATTGGAACACTTCTTGTCTACCTCGTCTACGCCTCCCTTGTTTTTATTATAATCAATAATCATAGCCGGCTTACCAGTTACATCATCAGTCTCTTTTTTATGGTGCATTGAAGATACAACTAAAACAGCTTTTTTAGGTTTAGGCGCATACGACAAGATAGTGTAGTCTCTAGTGAATCCATACAGAACACTTCCTACCACTCTTTCTTTACTGGCCTGAAATTCTGGAGGAATTTCTCTTTTATTTTTCTTGAGAGTACCTAGGTACGTTAAGCCAGACGCTTTCAACCGTTGAATAAGCTCAATTGAGCTAAACCAATTATCAGCCGTGACGTTGCGGTTGCTGCCCTCAATACCTTTAGTGAGCCGTATGACAGATTGGGTAGGAATAGAAAATTTCTTTTCGGCATCTGTCAGCGTAGCACCATCCGATCCTCGTCCAGTGTATACGTATGCATTATATATATAAAAAGTCCGTGCATCTACAAGCCCCAGTATCTTCAGGCCATATTTATTTGGTTTACTTGGCATGTAAATAACAAAACCACACCGTCCTCTGAAAGCTACTAGCATTTCATCAATGCAAACGTCAGCGCTCAAAGTGTAATTTTGCCGACTATTATTGATGAATGCGTTGAATAAGTCTGAAACAGCGGCAAGTTTATCATCTTTCTGTCTTTCTTCCCTTGTCTGAGAATCATCAAAACGCAAACAATTTATCAAAGTAAGAAATCTGTTCTTAGACATTACACACCGAAAAATATCACGTCCTGTGCCATCTGTTGCATATAGGTATTCAGCATTCTCGTGATTAGACCTAAAGACTGATGTATAAAAAAGTAATCCGAAAAGAGCATTCAGTTCTATTACAGTCAAGGGTGATAGTTCAGATCTTGCGGTATCTTTGAATTCTCTTCTATACTTATCAAGTTTTTCGTTAGTACATGTCATAATCATTGTTTTCATGTCTTCAGTAAACAACAGTGCCCACAGTTCTTCAAAAGACGAAAATATCTTTGGGTCAGACTGATTTTGTATGTTCAAAATATTGTGCTGCCGAGTTCGAGACGAACGTGCTGGCTCCTGAGAAGACCATTTATGCCTATTCTTCCCATAATAGTAGCGCTCCCTAATAGTTTCTGTATGCTCGGTTCTCACCTCTATAACACCGTCCTGCTGAACATCTGCTCTCTCTTCTCTGTCTTGTCTCTCATCATTGAGCTCTTCACCATACTGCTGGTCACCTGCCCTCTCTTCTCTTTCTTGATTATCACGATTAATATGGTCTTCTGTACCGTGTTCTCCATCATCCTTCTGATTACCAGCCTCCAGGTCTTCGGGCTCAATATGACTGTACCAGCTTTCTTCGACTTCAGACTGGTCGGAGTTTGATTGGTGGTCACTTTCCAAAAAAAACTCAGGATCTACTAAACTATCATCGAAAATGCTGCAACTGTCGTCACTCTCATTCATCAGGTGGTCTGATATTTCATCGTCTCGCACGACCTGTCTCCTTTCTCTCAGTTTCCTAGGATCATCAATTGCTTGATTTTTATAATCACTAGGTAGTTTCCTCTTTTTTGATCCTGATCTAACACTTTCAGACATTCTGTAGGACAAAAAACATACGTTAATTACGATGTGACGACCTCAAGACACTAAGGTAGTACATACATTAACAACGTGGTGACGACCAAGAGACGTATCAAGTTTTGAACATAAACACCGTACTTACGTCTGTGAGACGTCTCGAGCTCCGCATAAAACACCTGTGCACGCGCCGCAAGCGGGACGCCGACTGGCAAATAAAACACGCGGGGGGAGGAGGGTACTGAGCGGCGTGACCTTGGTAACGCTTCGGGTGAAAAAATATTGACAAAATAAAAATGCGGCCGTCTGTGAGACGGGTAGGTCGGCAGTTAAAGGTTAAAAAAAATAACTTTTATATGTAAACTACCTATTGAATATAGCGGTTTTCTTGTCAAATATCGACATAAGCTTTTGTGTTTTTTTTCTATTGTGACTAAATTTTTTAATTGTGTTTTCACATCGTATGTATATCTTCAATTTTCCTATGTATTTTTACAAAGTAATTGATTTAACACTGTTACGCGGTATCAACCAAAGCCATTTGATTGTATTTGGTTGTGTAGACTCTTAAAAGTAGTATTTTTTCAGAGTGCTATAGACTGTCAGTAGATGAGAAGGTCCCGGATTTGATTTGAAATAAAGGCTTTCTGTTCTGGATAGTGCCCTATAGTTTATTGTTTAGATTTTAGTAATGGATCAAAATTAAGCCGTATAAAAATAATGATAAATAGGTGTTGGTAATGGATTCATTCTTCGTAATCGGATAAATATAATCTTTATATTTTTTATTAGATACACGTGTTAATCGTCGTGATTAAAATAAAATGGAAATACCGCTGAATGTAAAAAAAATTAAGTAGGTAAAAATTATGAAATAATAATATACAACAATAAAAATAATAACGTGGCAAACAACTACCAATTTCCCGGTCTCAAACTAGGGGATATCCTTTAATATGAGTACCAGAGCAACGGAATTCACTCCGGTGCATTACTGACATGAGTATATAACCAAAATAGAGACGAAATGTCATTTAATTTGTTTGAAAACTATTCTGCCGTATCAATACTGTGACAACTGCGCCCCGATTGGCCAGCCCGAGTTCACTTCAAATCGACCAGCTAACTTGAGCTTTGCTATAATGGACGAAAATTGCAAAAGTACATATTTAATATTTAATTAATAGAGAATAGAAATATAATTTAAGAGACGTACACACAGGTCTGTAGTTGGCCTGTCTATATTTCAGTACAAACGGGAGTTGATATTTATAAGAGCTGTATCGCTAATGTGTTACCAGGAATATATGGTCTTTATATCGTCTCTATTTCTGGTTATATACTCGATGATTACTCATAACACTCAGATCAGAACAAATTTAGAAAATTTACCGGGAATCGAACACGATACTTGCTCATCCGGCCGGTATATACAGTGTGTTAGGGCACGCACTGTACAAACTTTAAGGGGGTGTTTAGTATTCAATATTATGTGAAAAACACTAATACATGTGGGGTCAAAACTCAACTCCCTAGGAATGGCAGCCATTTTGATTTTTTATACTTAGTTTGCTAAACGTTTGATCTAAAATTATCATATTATGAGAAGTAAAAGCAGTACGAACATAAAAAATATTTTTTCGGAAAGCTAAGATTAGCGGCAATTGAATAAAATATCTGTCATGTACATAAAAAAGTGGGGGATTGCCTAAAAGTTTTAACTTTATTTGTGAACCGATTTTGATGAATCTTTTTTTTTTTGTTGGAAAGAAGTTTTTTTTGTAGGTCCCATTTAAATTTGAAGAAAATATTCCACCTCTAAGTATGACAAACTAGGGGGTGAATCCGGTTTCATGCACTTTTCGGTAACCGATTTCAACAAAACTTGGCCAATACATGTAATTCCACGAACTTTGGAGGTCCATTTTTTTAGTACTCTGTACTGAGATTGTTTTTAAGTTTATAGAAAGGGTTATCAAATGATATCACTAATTACAGGTTTCTTACCAGAAAATTTGGTTCGAAAATTAAAAATAAAAACGTGATGCAATTTAAATACTGAATCATCATAGGGTACGATTACTTCAAATACAGGTAATCGACTTGGAAGGCGCAGTAAAAGAGATGATGGCTCCATGCATCGTTCCGGAGCTGGAGAGACTACGCGAAGTGAAAATCGCCGACCCACGGTACTGGCCTATCAGCTTCCAGCGCGGGCGCAACTGGGACCAGCTGAGGTTAGTTTTCAAGTTACAGAATTAAAAGAAGCTTATGTAAATTAAAACACGTGCGTAGTAAATGTGTCTGTACGCGATTTCAGCTTCAACGTCAAAGCGTAGTATGACTTAGAAACGTTCTTATGTCGCTTGCACGCCTTATTGAGATTATGGAGAGAAAAGGTACAGCTATTGTTGAACGTGGTGTTGTTAAAGCAATATCGGCTACATTGATACCGATAGCTCGGAATTGCGTATCGGCTGTGAACTGGCAACCAGTATTATCTCAATTTTACAAGATGAAGAAATGAATTGTTTGCGTCATTTATATAGCATCTGGTTAGAAGTTAGTACAAGTTGAATGAATTCGATTGTGGCGCCAAAATTAAATGTATCTGAGATGAAATTTCTTGCAATGCTGCGGAGTATGAAATAGTATAAAATGGTACTAAAAAGTGAAATCGTTAGAAAATTGAGATAGTACCAGTTGCCTTTCACATAAAAATCACAAATGTAAAACCACAAAATACAACCACAAATCCTTCTGTAAACACAAACAACGCTAACCACATATGCAATTAATAATAAAACAATAAAAAAACTGCCTCTGCTGTGTGTTCTGCCTGTGCTGGTCTGCCACGCAGAGGTTCCGGGTTCGATTCCCAGGCCGGGAGAAATATTTGTATGGCCTACATTTATTTATCTCGTAACTGGGTGTAATTTGTGGCTGTCTTGTCTATGTGTCCATTGCACCCGCCATACAGGGTTTCCCTAGTGCGGGGCTTGTGCGTTATAGTTGGAGATAAGATCACATATTGAAGCTGTTCCATTTGAAAAAGTCTTTTATTTTTTCACCAGAACGATTTTCTTGAACCTCGAAATTTTACATAAATTTTAAGTAATTTGTGGTTGCCTACGTGTGTGGTCTATGACATCTGCGATACAGTGTTTCCCTTTCAGCTTTAAAAAAAACCATAGCTCTTTGAGAAGACAATCTGGTGAAGGTTGTAATCTGCTGGAAGCAAGCAGAGTAGGTGGGTCGTTGTGGCGATCTTTGAGGTCTATATCTAGCAGTGGACGTTTTTCAGCTCTTATGATAACAATTATCGTCTGATTATTCCAGACAAGATTTTTTTTATAATACCGAGTGATGTGACGAACATTTAGGACACTTGCGTTTAAATACGGACTGCTTGAGACCACATCTCGTGTATCTCAAGGACCACTTTTAGGTCCTACTTATTTCATATATTCATTAACAGTCTACCAGTCTACAGTCTTTCTCACTCATTTCCTTGTACGTATGCTAGGGACACTCTGCAATATATAACTCCTTCAAAGCAACCTAATCAGCTACAATGATGCGAGAGTTATACGGGTTCCAAATGCACTTTATTTGAACGATTAGTTCAGCTCTTTTATGTTATCCTACCTTTGAACACGCCTGTCCATAGCAGTTGAAGTGCCACTTATAGCTGGAAATCTTAAAGATCTGAGACGGGCACTGCCACTGCGCCCATCATCCAAAGCCAAGGTTTTTTTTTTATATAATAACGCACACACTCAACATAGCCCCGCACTAGGGAAACCCTGTGTCGCGGGTGCCATGGACACACACATAGACAACCACAAATTACACCCAAACTCACGAGAGAAACAAATGTAGGTCATACAAATATTTCGCCCGGCCCGGGAATCGAACCTGGGACCTCTGCGTGGCAGTCCGGCATGGTAACCGTTCGGCCAAGTTGACAATCCCCATGTGCCTGTTATTTCACTAGCATGTTTTTCTGTTACAGAACTTTTCTGGAATACACCTGGTGTATAGACATAAAACAGCGCGCAGGCAGTCTCTCGTACCGAGATGACCCCCACGGGTTTCTCACCATCCTGTCGCAGAGTTTGACCCTGGACAAATCTCACATCTGGTCACCCACTCCTGACAATATACAATTATTCTCCAACGACATAAAAGTCAAAAACTTTGTGAAACATTATCTGACAAAGGAACGGACCTTGACGAACATTTGTTCGGATTGTTTGATAATACCCAAAAAGAGGAAAGGGTTAAAAAATGAACCGTTTATGGCGAAGGAGTGTCTGTGCCGACAGTACAGTAAGGAGGAAAAAGAACACGTGCAGATGCTGAGTATGGTCACTTACGAGTGTGTCGTCAAGGATATTTTGTGCGCGTTGCCGATTTGGACTGCGTTTTTGAAGGTGAGTAAAATAATATAAAAGGTCAACCAATGGGTAGAATGAAAAATGAATGGATGAAATATATAATAATAATCTGTCACATTGGGCCATGGGGAATTCACACGTTTTTCAGGGTTGTGAACCTTTTTAGACATACAGGTTTTCTCACAGTGTTTTCTTTATCCGAAAAGCTTATGGTAGATTTCAAATTAAATTTCGCACATAAATTCCGAAAAATTTTGACGTGCGAGCCCAGATTCGAACCCACGACTGTCTGCTTTAAAGGCGGTAGGTCAAACTATTAGACTACCATAGCTTAAATGAAACTGTGGGGTCCCAGAGGGAAATTCTAGTTTAGGCTCCTGTTTCCCACATATACGACCATTTAAAAGCACTTGGTGTTTGTTGTACTTGGAAAAAAGCATACAGTAATGTGACGTATGATCGTCAAATTGGAGCCAAATAAAGAGTCAAAATAATGAATAAGACCAAAGTGTGGACGGAATTTGCCTATTTGACACCATTAATGTGCGTCGAGAAATCTACAAGCGCGCGGTAACGTGTGATTGGTGTTTGTTGTATTTGTAGAATAGACAAATACTTTGTCACATCTACTATCCATACACGGTGATTGTTTTAGAAATACATTAAATACACAAATACAATTCGCCATATGTCTTACCACAATAAGATCATTGTTGCACATTGGTCCTATGGTGGGCCACACCCAAAAATACACCATATTATATCAAAATATGGCGCCGAAAACCCCACCCTACGACATTTACGTAGCGCTTAAACTTGCATTTCAAAAATGGGATAGTTACTAGGTTTATACTTATACTATATAGTTTATACTTGTGGGTTCAGCCGTCACGCCTCCTCGTTAGAGATACACAGTTTTACTAACGATTTTGGTACCGTAGCGTCTTAAAGTCACACTGCTAGCGTATCTATAATGTGCAGTTGTGTTTTCATCCACCATTTAAATAAAAATATTAAAAAAGAAATAAAGTTATTTGAAGTAATTTATAAAATCTTTAAACATTTTTTTTTTCTTTTAAACGGATACACGTACGTTAGAAGTATGCGTGACGTGTTAAGTAAAACCATAGACCATTTGATTTCGAAATTTCACGACTCCAAAGAACTTTTTGCACTTGCGACTTACAGATTTACGAACGGCAAGACCTTCTGAGTTAATAACTTTAGTGTTTGTTTTCATTTTCATTATGAACTGTAGCGAACACGTCACTTACACAATAAACATGGCAACATTACACTACGTAACAAATTTTGAAAAAGGTTCTCTTACTGGTTTGATAGTATTGTTTTCTGTTAATTAAGCAGCAATTGTCTGGTAAAAAATCTTTTTGTGGCTATCACAATGGAGTGTGTAATGTATTATATAAATATTTTTAACCTAACGTTCTTTTAATATAATTTTATTTAAAATAAACGTTTTTCATAAATCAATTCACTTAATGTAATGAACGTTTAATATAAACTTACGCTCTATAATTTCATTTTAAACTGCTTCCGTTGTGGAACGGTTACCATACTGGACTGTCCCGGCTTGGATTCCCGGGCCGGGATAAATATTTGTATGGCCTACATTAATTTCTCTCGCGAGTTTGGGTGTAATTTGTGATTGTCTATGTGTGTGTCCATGGCACCCGCGACACAGAGTTTCCCTAGTGCGGGGCTATGAGTGTGTGCATTATTATTATTAATTGAAATACACTATTGATTTGAAATACAATCTTCCCTTTTTGTCTTTAAATAAAGAGAAACCTAATAAATTGTTACAACCAAAACCATTTGACTTTGGTTGATTCCGAATAAGGGTGAGGCCAGACGAGCGTAATTTTGTGAGTTGTGAGTTGCGTTTTATGAGTTGCGCAGTTTGCGCTCGACCGAAATTCGGTTGGAGCGCCAGGCGAACGCATTTTATTCAGTCTTTTTAAGCGTTTATACCAAAGTGACCCCTTCCTTCATCGCTACCTCCACCCGCGCCAGCCCGTCTCACGATGCGACCGAAAGTCAGTCGTCATTACGCCAGTGAATCGGCAGATAACTCATTTTGCGTCGTCGTGTGAAACAAACCGTACTTTTATATGAAACCGAATGCAGCGCAAACTGCGCAACTCAAACTACGCGACTCACAACTTAAAAAATTACGCTCGTCTGTCCTCACACTAATAGTAAAAGAACTGAGATAGTGTCGACTCTTAGGGTGAGGCCAGACGAGCGTAATTTTGTGAGTTGTGAGTTGCGTTTTTTGAGTTGCGCAGTTTACGCTCGACCGAAATTCGGTTGGAGCGCCAGACGAACGTATTTTATTCAGTTGCTTTTAAGCGGTTATACCAAAGTGAAAATTATATATATATATATTATACCCCCTTCCCTCACCCGTACCTCCACCCGCGCCAGCCCGTCTCACGATGCGACCGAAAGTCAGTCGTCATTACGCCAGTGAGTCGGCAGGTAATTCATTTTGCGTCGTCGTGTGAAACAAACCGTACTTTTATATGAAACCGATTGCTGCGCAAACTGCTCAACTCAAACTACGCGACTCACAACTTACAAAATTACGCTCGTCTGTCCTCACACTAATAGTAAAAGAACTGAGATAGTGTTGACTCTTAATGGTACGCATATTTCATGTTTTCGTTGACCACAAAAACTAAGGTTTTGCAGACAAATAAATTTCTTCATGCTTGTTATGAAAGAATCAAATAGAAAATGATATTGATAACCGGAAACGAAAATTGTGTTACATGGTGTCATTTTTCAAAGTGAAATTAACAGCTACTAATCAAAAAACAGGAAAACCCAACACCGTCATCAATTGATAATCATTTATAATCCTCAATTACAGATAATAAAGGCGATGAAGACAGAACCGACATCGTACAACATCTGGCAGATAAAATTACTGCTTTCTCATATAGAGAATCATAGTAAAAGAACTATAGAAGAAATGAAAATCGACGGTCAAGACACACCTTACGAACCTTTAATTTCTAACGAATTTACCATGGCTATTAAACAGAAGGTATCCCATATATTTGACGGCTGGGAGCCTCTGATCGCGCCATACTTGTCTACGTACTTGCGAAAATGGTCAAGCTTTGGCCATACCAGAATAAGTTCTTGCGATGACAAATTAAAAAAGATGTTAAGTACGTTTTTAGTATATCACGACTTGCCAAGGAACCTGTTGAGTTATAAAAGCGAATTTAGTTTACTGTTGGGCTTAGACGAAACGAACTTGAGTGCAGAAGCTGTTGATAAAGTGGGGGAGTTATTGAGGTGATTGCGGGAAAGTGGGGGGTATAACACTCGATCGCATTGCCTTGGAGATTGTAATAAGACTGAGTCAGCTTAAGCTTGTAACACACTCGTCAGTCGCAGGAACTGATAAAAGAGGGGCATTCTTGTACATTTGAAATTCGATAAATTCGAATTTAAGTCCGCCATCTTGTGGAATATTACATATCTAATTTCCTTCAGTGACACATTAATATAGACCGCCAAAAGTCGTCTTGCGGCACCAATCTAGGGGTCAAAAGTAATTTGACAATATACTAGCATATACGAAATAAAAAATCGTGTAATTTGTGTATTTATTTTATATATATTTTTATATTTTGTTTCCTTTCCCACCCGCCCATTTCCTAACATTTTTACTTTGACGTTGGCACAAAGTATTCCGGTGTTATTTATTGAAGAAAAACAGATGAATACTGACTTTGAACCATGAGATGTGCGATGGCCTTGAACATAGCAGTTAGAGTGTAGTCTAAAAGCAGTTTAGAAATCACAAAAAATTTTAATGAAAAATTACAAATCATATCTCGCATTTGTGCATCTCTGCAGGTCTAGCACGATAGCGCGCGACTTGAGCATGAGCGACATAAAGCGCGAGATACTGTTCTCGCATCGTGCTAGCCCTACTGATTTAACTGTGTTTGTTTAACTGACTGAACATTACTGCGTTCCGGTTTTGAAGGGTAAGAGAGTGCTGGTGAAATTACAGGCACATGGGACTTGTCAACTTATGTCTCAGGGTGTCGTCGGGCGCAGTGGCAGTGCCCCTCGGATCTTTGTGATTAAAGCTCTAAGCGGCACTGCAATTGTTAGGGACAGGCGTGTCACTTAGGATTATTAAAAAAAAAACAAAAATAAACGTGAGACTGTATTTTGGAATGTTTAGAAAATAAACAGTAAAAAAAAAGAAATTTTGATCATTGATGATGCAATGGGTATGTCCATACTAAGAAAACTCCAATTCCGATCACTGTTCATTTTAATTTCAGACAAAAATAAAAATATTTCAGTAGACCGCTCGAAACGGTGACAACTCTGTGCGGAGCGCAGGTGGGAGTCGGCGGGGTGGATGCTTTACCAGATCTGAAAACTGTCAAATAGTACAAAAAAAACTTATATCTTTATTTTTGCTAAAATTATGATTTGTAAAAAGTCTTGGAACAAAAATTGTTGTTTATAATGTTAGTAATATAGTCCTGCGATGTTGTTACATGAATCATGAACTTATTCCCAAATACTTGAATTTTCCAATTAGTCATGAACTTCTTGCGAAACTATTTTGCAATATTTATAGTGAAGTTTAATACAAAGGTTGAACAAACACAAAGAAAACTTGTTTCGATCCGGTTGGGCTCGAACCAGTGTCCTGCCTCACCGTGGTTACCGCTCTTACAACTTGATGCTGATAAGCAATAACGTCAAGTAACTTATGTTCATAGTTTTGAGAAAATGGCCTCTAGAGTTTTTTTTCATATTTTTTAAATTAATTATTTTTTTAATATGTTTTATTATTTGAGGTTTCAAATCACTTATTTTACGTTGCTATGTGAAAAAATAGATTCCTCACAAATGGCGCTACGCCCAAAAAATCAGTAAAAATCAAAACAAACGGCTGCAACAAGCACATAAAAAAATTCCTAAGGTCCGCTAGTTCGTTCGGCTTAGTTGGCATAGCGTCTGGCACGGTTTGCTAGAAGACGTTGGTTCGAAGGGATTCTTTCTAAGTGTTCGATCTTTGTATTAATAATTACAACAAACTAGTGAAGTAATTTCACAAAATAATTGAATGTCATGGCCACTAACATTTAATTAAATTAATCTCTTAGTTTACAGGAAATGAAACTTTTTTTTCCGGATTTAAATCGCGTTTATTTTTGTTTTTTAAACAAACCAACGTTTCGGGCCCTTTACAGGTCCCATTGTCACGGTTGACTCGTCATTTAGTTTATGTAAAATGTAGATGAGACGACAAACTACAATTTGGCATTAATAACTTCATTTTTAGTTTTTGTGGGTTAACACGATATTGCTTAACAGCATCCAACTGTGCTTCAGATCTCTTCAGCAAACGTTTGAACTACTTTTTTGCCGGCAGTGAAAAAATGAATATTGCAATTTGTAATAACATTATTTTTAAATTACTTGTAGATCGATGGCATACACTATAATGAATTTGAAATCACTGATATCTTCACACGTGATTTATTCAGATAATAGTATACGTTCGATAAATAATGACATTCGATAAGGTAACACCAATTAGGGTTTTTTTTCAATGAAAACAAAAACGTGCATTTGTCAAGGTTTTACTGATATAAAGATGTAATTTAAATGTAAAGCATTTCAAATTAATATCGCCACTAAATTACAATACGACACTAATAACCAAAGTAGCACATCTTAGTGCGTTTGCGCATCAGATTCGCGTTCGTTCCAAATCCGAGACACTTCGAATCTAGAAAACACGGAACCACTTCAAATGTCGCACTTTCAGTTGTTCAAAATGTTAGAAACATTTTTTTTTTATTGCCAAGTGATTGAACGAACAAGTTGTACGCCTCGTGGTATGCGACCCTATAGCAGTTGCAGTGCCACTCAGAGCTCTAATTCGCAAAGATTTAAGGGGTATTGCCACTGCACCAGTCGCCCTGAAACATAAGTTAACCAGTCCTATTTAATTTCGTCAGCGCCCTTAACCTTTCGAAACCGGAACGCAGTAATACTCATGTTACTGCTTGGCGGCAGAAATAGGTAAGGTGGCAGTACCCTGGACGAACTCTCACTAGAAGATCACTTTATAGGATACTCTTACTTTTTTCTGATGTCGCTTGTGCTTGGATTTCGAGATTATACGAATATCACTTGTACACCTAGAGATAAAATGATCCCTGTGACATTTCGGACCGTCATTTCTCGGATTTGGAACTTATACGAATCGGACGTAGTAAGCAAACGCTCTTAGCCCGTTCGCCGGGACGTTCAAGGTTCGCATTGACCGTGGGCTGTCACGTGCAACGGGCACGCAATTAGTTTTCGCTACAGCGGGGCATTTAACGTATTAACCAACCAGAGTCGGCTGATCAAGGAAAATCATCTTCGCAAGGACAATACACAGATTGTTTTATTTTGTTTAAAAACAGAATAACAACTTTAAACAAAATTACTTTGTTTTGCAGTTTTTTTGTGATAACAACTGTTCTTTTTAATGTCAGTTTGTGAAATGTTGAGGTGAAATATTTTTTACGGATTAAATAAGTAGTTAATGTGGTCTAATACTTTCGGTTATATACTTTATTTACTAATATAATAATGTTAATTAATAACCATTTGCTTTCATGTCTAATTTATTTTTTATAATATAAATGACGGGACGAACACTTCGTGCGCCTGATGATTAGGCTACACGCCACAGACAGAGCTTTAAATAAATAAAAATAAATCGCAAAGATTTAAGGGGTATTGCACCCGTCACCCTAAGACATAAGTTAACCAGTCCTATATGCCTTTCGCCAGATTTCGAGCAGAGATTTGCCAGCACCCTTAACCTTCAAAACCGAAACGCAGTAATGCTCACGTTACTGCTTGGTGTAGAAATAGGTAAGGTGGCAGTACTTCGTTGGACGACTCTTTCACTAGAAGATCCTTTTATAGGATACTATTACCTTTTTCTGATGTCGCTTGTACACCTAGAGATAAAATGATTCCTGTGACATTTCGGACTATCATTTCTCGGGATTCGGAAGGAATCGGACGTATTAGTTAAACAAGTCGACAAGCGCCCCTTATTATAAATAAACAGTCCAATGTACAAAAGACCAAGCTGTTAACAGAATAACAATGTCACATACTCCGTTGTTCATCACATCGTGTTAACTATCGTATATTAAAATGATAACGTGTTGATTAAAATGAATTGATTCAGATTGATAACATAAAAAAGACTGAAAAGATACATTAATTAAGGACATCATGTCGTATGGGTATTCCCGAATATAATTTGGGATGGTAAGTGACCTTAATTGGTTACGACAAAATTGCGACCAACGCCTTGGTTTTGTAACACAACTTCAGGTTGTAACAAAAAGATGTTTCAATAGGTGATTGTCTTCATGATGACGATGAAAATTGCGGGCGTTTGTGTGAATGAGGAACAATAGAAACAATGTGTGAATTATTATTAAGTAGGTATGTAACACTGACTAATTTCCCTTGAACATTATTAACTCGGGAAACCAAGTATCATTAAGTTGTTCAGAATGTTAGGGAGATTTTTTTTATATAACTGCCTCTGTGGCCGAACTGTTACCATGCCGGACTACCACGCAGAGGTCCCAGGTTCAATTCCCCGGCCGGGAAAAATATTTGTATGGCCTACATTTATTTGTCTCGTGAGTTTCCATAACTCTAGTCAATGCTCAAGCCATGTAATGAGTATGATTTCAAGCACTGGAAATACGACCCTAATGGCAACGACTTGATTATGATTTCTAGTGCTTAAGTCATACTCAAGTCCTGACTTGAGCATTGAGTAGAGTTCTGAAATACGACCCTAAGTGTGTGTCCATGGCACCCACGACACAGGGTTTCCCTAGTGCGGGGCTATTTTGAGTGTGAGTATGTGCGTTATTACCCAGTGATGGGACGAGCAAGTTGTTCGTCTCGTGATAAACGACCTTATAGCAGTTACAGTGCCACTCAGAGCTTTTAATCGCGAAGATCTAAGGAGTGTTACCACTGCACGCGTCACTCTGAAACATAAGTTGACCAGACCTATGTGCCTTTGATTTCACCAGCACCTTTAACCTTCAAAACCGAAACCGCTCTTTCACAAGGAGCTCTACTGCTGTTTAAATACAATAGTGCGAGGGGAGTTAATTTTTTTATCTTTCCAGCTAAATATTTTTACACACTGTAAGATCTATCTATCTAAGATCCCTTTACGATACTCTTTTTTTTAAATGATTCAATTCTTTCTAAAATAGTGGTATATGAACATCTAAATCATCAGGAAGATTGTTTAAGATAATTCATATGTGGAAGCTTTTAATTGGCATCTGATTATTTATATTTAAATCCATGTTGTAAAAGTAGCTGTAAGCTCCTAAGATAATAAAATAAAACTTGAGTCGCGATTGGCGCACAATGCCGATGAATGGTATGTTAGAATATTGAAATTCTTTAATATTTTAGCTCTGCGTCGTTAGGGTAAGGTCCGATAAATCGAACACTGTATTTAATTTTAAATGTTTTTAAAAGAGAATTTGGAGCTCTGTCTTTTGCTATTTAAAACGGATATTTGACCATTTGTCACTTAGCCACGTTTTAGTTAATGGAACGGCAGAGTGTCTAATATTAATGCATTTTTCTGACTTTATCTGCCCGCAAAGTTGGTTTATTTGAAAGAATAAAAGTACGCGATTTAGATGAACGTTATTGTAGGACAAAATTAACATTGTTAGGTTTGACAAATGTAATTTGAACCCTCGTTCACGCACATGGAAGTCAAAAGTGAAGACTGGCGCCACCATTTCAGGGTTCAAAAATAATTTGGTAGTTTGTCGTAGAATCAAATGCTTTTCGAAATGTCAGCAAAAATTTTTTGCCTATTGAATGTCCCTTGAAGTTTTTTCATCTCCTGTTCCATAGCCTGTACCTCATAATCTGCCTTCGGAAGAAATATGTTTAAATATTTGTAAGGTTTTTCTGATAAAAATAATACTTGAAATATATGTTTGATATTAAGTAGTTTATTTACGTTTTAAATACATACCGCCTGTTTTATACAAAAACTTTCATTGTATTTTAATCAGCTGTTTTTAAAAATACCTTAATTTTAGTTCTTAATTTAAGTTTAGTGCAAAAAATATATTAAAATACTTAGAATAATAACGCATAGAAACCTAGTCCGCACACGCTAAGTGAGGCAAATTGAAGCGCGCCAAAAGGGCCTACACGAGCGGGCGGGCCTTCAGTGCTCAAGGTCAACTTGCACCGCGAACAGATCAAGAATTTTAGCTAAAAATGAAGAAATGTGCGGTAAATGAGTGTAAAAATACGTCAGACAAACATAAAATAGATACTAACATCACATTCCACAAGGAAGTAACGCGTTTCAACTTGTATTTTTATATAAATATTCACTAAAACCGAAAATTAACCTACTACTAAAACTAGCCTACATGAATTTGATTTTTGCCTCACTTGTGACAGTTCGTTTGATATGAAACTATCATTCTATGCGTTATTATTCTAAGTTAAAATATTATTACTGCACATCAAGGGCATATTAACCAATTTAAATGTGACTTAATAATTTGCTCATGAATAGAACTAATGGGCACAATTGTATCAGTTGTGCTTTTTTTGTGTTACTATAATAATTATTAGAATTGAACTACATAATAAGGGCACACTTCAGTACATTACTGAGTAAAACCCTTTGATATTTACGTTTTTTACTCGGGAGGGTTATGTTTTTCGAGTGTATTTATGTATATTATGAGGTGTCGTTAAGTTTGTCTTGATTGTGGGAGTGTCATAGGCTATAAAAAATAATCACAATTTTTTTTATAATATCAAGTGGCGGGACGAACAAGTCGTGCGCCTGATTGTAAGCTGCACGAATGTCCATAAAAGTTGCTGTGCCACTCAGAGCTTTAAATCGCAAAGATCGGAGGGGCACTGCCACTGTGCCCGTAACTCTGAGGAATAAGTTGACAAGTCCCATGTGCCTGTAATTTCACCAGCACCCTTGCCCTTCTCAACCGGAACACAGTAATGCTAACGTTACTGCTTGGTGGCAGAAATAGGTAAGGTGGTAGTACTTCCCTGGACGAACTCTTTCACAAGGAGCGCTACTACTGCTTAAATACAATAGTGCGGGGGGAGTTAATTTGTTTTTTTATCTTTCCAGGTAAATATTTTTAGTCTGGTTTTTGTTTTTTTATTAGCATAATAACTTTTATAGTAAAACTCTGATTATTGATGTCAGTTGTGCCCTTTGAGCTTGCAGTATATTTATTAATTCAACAATTACTGAGATATATTTCTACAAAACGAAATAGGTGGTCCTTTGTTCCTGATTCCGTATATATATATATATGTACCTAACTCAATTTTGTTAAAAATGTTAGTTGTGCCCTTTTTCGTTCCGAGGGCAGTATACGAGTATAGTGAACTATATAACTCAGTTCTAAGGCGATTTTAAGCGAAAATAAAAAGGATTTAAGAATCACTTTTGTTTTTATTGTAGGTACTTGCTTTAAACCCTAAGCGCACAGTGGGCCCAAATTGATAATTCTTGGACATAGGAATTACTTGTGGAGTATCGAGCTAATTTTTTTTTTTAGATATATAATAACATTCCTAACAACTTTTATTCTTGTATAATTTCTTGAAAAGTTGATAGTTTTGGAGACAAAAAAAATATTTTTTTTTATGGAGAAATATACATTTTATTGAGATAAAAATCTCAATTTTAATGTAATTTGGAGAATGTTATAACAATAATATGAAAGTTAAGTAGAAACTAGCACATTGCGTCAAAAAAAATCTAAAATTTTGACACCTTTTTACTCGTAAAGCCGCAAGACCTACCTGCACATGGATTATTTTCTTCTTGATAGAGAATAATTAGACCTATTTTGCAAATAAACCATACACATTACATTTTCCTACATATCAAGATAAAAAAATAAAATGTTTATTTCTCCAAACAAAAAAAAACTAAAAGTTTTTTTCTCTGAAACTATCAACTTTTCAAGAAATTATACAAGAATAAAAGTTTTATAGAAATGTTATTATCTATCATCAGATTTGAATTCTAATTACTAGGCAACAACATTTAAATTCCTCTGAATAATACAACAGCGCGGCCGCCGCGTAAAAGCTAAGTGAATAGAGCGTATTTTGCCATGACAGAAGCACGCGATCGCTGCGCTGCGGCAACGCGGCTACAGCACGTGGTGAGCGCGTTGAAATTCATGTCGAAAAAACCGGACCTAATACTTCTGTTTCAATAATTAATAATTATACCTTAAACAATAATTTTAAGGTCGTATTCCAGAACTCTACTCAATGCTCAACTCAGGACTTGAGTATGTTTTCAAGCACTAGAAATCATTCTCAAATCCTGACTTGAACGTTGAGTAGAGTTCTGGAATACGACCCTGAATTTCTTTAAACTTATTGAAATGATTACAAGGTATTATCGCTTAATGTGCCCAGGCTATTAACTCGTAAATATAAAAGATATCAGAAACCTTTAAACTAATATCGAAACGTTACCCAATGAGCACACCGACATTAATAACTTTTTTAAAATAAAACTAGAAATATCCTAAAACTTAACGTTAAACTCTCACATTACACACATTTAAAATGACGTTCGTAGAGAGCTCCTACGTTAGTAGTGTATCTTATTCTAGAATACCTTTATTATTATTATTATATATTATTTCATGTTAACAACAGCTGTTTACTTAATTATTTATTGTTAATACAATAAATATAAGTTAAAATAGCGAAGGACAACTTTAACTAGTACTTAAAAAGTACCTAAAGATACAAACAGACTGATTCATAATAGTAATACATCACTAATCTGATTAGGAAATCTGTAATATTAATCGAAATTGATTAGTTTTCTAGTATAAATACGCGTTCGTTTTCATTCGGCCATTTCAAAAGAAGCAGACGGCGAAAATGGCGACTAAAGCTTTGGTTGTATTCTTGGCATTCCTTGTCGGCTCTCTTGGTAAGTGATTTTTTTAAATTTAATTAATATAAATTTGTTTTTAAAATTTGTTAAAATGTATTAAATCCGAAACTCAACAACGCAACTTGACGTTTTTTTTTCTAATTTCAATTGACTGTCTCATGCTTGTCTCAGGGGCCCAAAAATTTTTGTATTAAAAAAAAATATGTCTGAATTTCTGATCGAAAGCTTCTAACCTAAAAGTACAGTTAAAACAGCCTATTGATGTGCCTGAAAGCATTCAGTCCATCAGGATCCCCTAGCCTAATCCCGAGGGGATCCTGGTGAACTCAGCAGTCAAGGGTCCAAGACGTGATCCGTTTACTATGTAACACCTTGTACACCATTGTGGAATTCAAATAAAGAATGTTGAGTGTTATTTCGATTGCCAGTAAGGTAATTTGGGATAGAAACTTTACTGAATTGGTTCTGCTCTGAAATATCTGAATAATGCTCCAGAGTTAAATTCGTTGCACTGATATTAGTACTGTTTATAGTACAGGGAATTCAGTATGTGATCAAGTAATTTAGTGAGGTTCTGTGGCACATTTAAATAACAATTCAATTAAATGTAATGTTAATTACTTTACACCCGAAGGAGGTGATTATAGCCATTGACACCGACCACTTGCGCTACGGAGAACCCCTAACGTTCGAGTTTTACGTAATTAACTATATTAAAAAATATAGTTAAATACGGAATGCATGTAAGTAATAATAATATTTTTTACATGCATTCCGTTTTTAACCGACTTAAAGAAGAGGAAGAGGTTCTCAATTCGACTATGTTTTGATAACTCCGGTATTTGTGAACCGATTTGATGATTCTTTTTTTGTTGGTGAGGTACCGATATCAATAAAACTTGACAAATAGATTAGTTCCACGAACTATTCCGGTCGGTTTTTTTGGTACTTCGTACTAAGATTATTGTCTCATACAATCTTATCAAAAGAATTATAATATATTAATTTGTTATAAACGTGGTAGATTACGATGTCAAATTAAGCAAAAGTTGCACTTATTAAAAAAAATGGCGGATTCAACGAGTTTGCTCAATAATCGCGTAACATACACACACAAACAATAAATAGAGTCGAATTAATCCTTTATTCGGAGACCCTTCTCTTTTTTTGAAGTCGCTTAAAAATAACTTGATCCCTTGATGAAAACTGCCTTGGGATCACTAATAGTACTCGCATACTTACATTGTTTTCCGTCGGTTTTCAATTTATTATATTGTTTTATTATTCTTCGTCACTAAAACCAAAAAAGAATAGAATATATTCTAGTTATAACACAAGCACGAAGCATTTGCACTCTCCTTGCACGCAAACTCCACCTGCTCAGCCGAGAGCTCGTTACAAGATAAATGAGTAGATGTAAGTTGTTATCATACGACTTTAATATAAATGTAGGTATAACGCATGTCCAGACGTAGGTATCTGTGCAATTAGATCAGATTATGATTATCTAATTTTCATTAATTAATGTATTCAAATAACGATAATTAAGTCGACAAGATAATGTTAAATCATAATGATTGATTTGCTTACATTCGTAGTACCGCATGAATATACAAAGAAAATTGTCTTAAAAGCATGGATGTTAACCAAATTGTCGTGCGTATGATTAGTACTGCGATATAATTGTTCGATATAATTCAAAATTTATTTTTTTATTTTTAACATTTCTGCTTATGTTTGAATACTTTTAGCATAATAATATTATCGGATGATATAAACGTGGTATGAATACGGAGGGATATAAATGGAGAGGAAGGCAAAGATGGATGGATTGTGTGAAAGATGACATGGGTAAAAAAGATGTGAGTATGAAAATTACGCCTGAAATTACGCCAGAATGAAAGAAAAATACATGTTGTGTCGACCTCACATACCGTGCGATAAGGACAGGAAAAAGAAGAACAAAAATAATGTGCTAAAAAACTGTTTCAATTCCCTGATCATTGAACCAAGTATCTGACGCTTAATTACACAGTCCAGTTGGATGTCCCTGTAATAGCACCTACAGTACTATTGATAGGAGTACCTAAGTAACGAAATGAATTTAAAAGGGCACTACTTAGAACATCCAGACCACAACCAATACGAATTGGCCTTACCGAAAATCGAACATAGACCTCATGGCGTGCTAACCGCTGGGTGCCATATCAGAGCCGGATTTTAAATAAATATGTAAATGTTTTATTTGAGTAATACAATCAACTTTACATTAATAGTGGATGGTACCTCCTATTAAGTTTATCAAGCCTGTGTCAATTTCATTTAGAATTAACTCTACTTTACCCTATACACAAGTATGACTGACAGTACTCTTTTGTATCTGATTTTAGCCGTACCAGCACCGGACCAATCGGTCCTCTTCGAACATGTGGACATTAACGCCCGCATCGTCGGCGGCTCCCCGGCAGCTCAAGGCAGCGTGCCTTACATGGTAGCCCTAACCCAGGGCACCGTAGTAAGGAGCTTGGTATGCGGTGGTTCCATCCTCACCCCCCGCACGGTTCTTACTGCCGCTCATTGTATCGCCGCTGTCTTCTCTTGGGGATCACTCTCCAGTTCGCTCCGAGGTGTAGTTGGTACAAACAGCTTCGGTTCAGGAGGTACCCAATATGCGTTCGCTCGCAATGTAACGCACGCGAACTACGTCAGCCAAACGATCAAGAACGACATCGGGTTGCTGATTACCACCACTGACATCGAGTATTCCGAAGTGGTGCAGCCTATAAAACAGGCTTTTGATTTCGCTCCAGCTGGTGTGGTCAGCAGAGCCGCTGGATGGGGTCGGATTGCCGTAAGTTCTTTTGATTTTGATTTTTTCAAGTAGATACACAGAGAAGTTTCCTTTTTGAACAAACCCCGTACTAGCAATGTATTCGATGCGCGTAGTACCTTCCTATAATTTGACAGTTACCTACACCTACAGCTTGACAACTTTGCATACAAAAAGAAAGTTTATAATTAATTGTTGTCGTTCTTATTTCCAATCACATAATAGAACACAAATTGTTATCATAATGTAGTTTGGGTTGATATACTATTGAGAATTATTAAAGAACTTTTTGTAATAACGCTACTGTAGGACTCGCCCACAAAATACTCTATTGCATGGATTTACAATTTAAATGCCTTGTTTTATAGGCCGGTGGTGCCATATCCCAAAACCTCCTAGAGCTGCACCCGGAAACGATCGACGGCGACGTGTGCGTCACCCAAGTAGCAACTATTGGTCCATCCCTCGGCTTCAGACCGCCTCCTGTCGAGCCCCATATCGAGATCTGTACCTTCCACTCTGCCGGACGCGGCATGTGCAACGTGAGTATACTTATTATTATTTATTCTATATATTGTTATTCTGTACACTTTATTATACTATATGATCTAACAGCAGACCCAACCCCAGTCGAGGTACTGGGTTCAATTCACTGTTGAATTTTTTTAGGAAAATATTTTTTTCAAAACTGTTCATCTGGATGTTCTGTTGCAATTTCAATACTTTTGGTTCTTTATGAAATTTCCCAATTCCAAACCGGATAACAGATGTGACTGTCTGGCCTGTTTATTCTTTTTTAATCGCACTTATTATACTTTTCGAGTTCTTAGGTTTTCGGATGACCAGTACCATCTCAGTCGTTTATGATCTTGGGACCTGTAAAGACCCGAAAGTGCCTGAAAGGTTTGATTTGTTTGAAAAAACCAATATAATCTACACGATTTAGATCCGAAAAAATAATATTTTTATAGTTATTATTACTTTTAAATTTTTTTTCGCGAATTCGCGAATGAAAGAGCCACTATTTCATCCCTCGTACCTATAAAAACCGTTTGATTTCTTTCCCAGGGTGATTCTGGCAGTGCTCTAGTCCGTGTGGATCGTGGAGAACAGATCGGAATTGTCTCTTGGGGTATTCCCTGCGCCCGTGGTGCCCCCGACATGTTCGTACGTGTCAGCGCTTATGAGTCCTGGCTGGAACAGAACACCGTCTGAACACCAAACTGATCCATCAAAGTTGTCCAACGCAAACTATACAGAATTATTTCTAAAATACTAATAACCTCGCAGTACTGTATGACAACATCATCAATAACAATTGTTGTTCCATGGCTTTTAATAAATCAGATTTTACTTTCGTACAAAAATAAAAATATGCATTGAATAGATCGCTTTAAGCAGTCACAACTGCGGTACGATGCAAAACACAGGAGCGGGGGTGGGAGTTGTTAGGGAGGACCCTTGCACATTTGAACTTACAACATTACTACCAAATGCAAATCTAAAAACTGTCAGGTAATATAACAAAAACTTAAAAAGTTTATTTCTTATGCATAACTTTCCTATCGAGACAGCTGTAATAATTAACGTAACAAGCTGAACGAATACTTATTGCTATTATATGAGACTATAGTAACTTGTCCACCACAATTCGACCCCTCCTATGTATCATATATGTATATCTACGAGGGGTCGAATTAACGTTTCGTTACGTAACGTAACGTTTCGTTAACGTCTTTCTGACAAACTGACGCTACCCGCAGGTCGTTTACGATATTGAACCATAAAACAATTCTTCGAACGGCTACCTATTAATTACCCTTATCTGCGTTGAGCATCATATTTATGAAACCATAAGATCTAAGTTCTTTGTTATAAAGTAAAAAATAAAGGAATCTTTATTGTTAATAATACGCTGTTTGTATTTATTTCTATTTCGTTAATGGTGTTTGAAAAGATATTGACTTTATTTGTATATTTTTTGTAAAAGTACTCCGCTAATTGATTATTCCCAACCGATCCCCTACAACTGATCCACAGCCAGTTTTAAATCCGTACTTATCCACTCTATATTTTGCAACACTCAACGGATCCCCTCATTGTGTTTGTAAGGTAAGTACAGTTACGAAAAAAATAAGTTTTAAAATCAAATATTCATTTATTGAGCAATTGCGATCAAACGTCATAATTATCACAGGCCCTAAATTTTTTTTGCGACAGGTCTTTAATATTGATATATTGCAAAATGTGATTTGCAATATATCAATATGAACACTAACAATATTAAATCAGTCTTAAGTAATATTTAAAATCTAAGTTTTTCTTTAAACTTTTGAATTGATGAACAATGTGCAACACGTTTTATTTTTTGCTCAAATTGTATTTTGGTATTTTTCAAGAACGTGACAAAGTGTTAAAGACCTTGACCGTTAAAGTACAGTTAATATTGTTCATTTCTAATAAACTAAATAAAATACAGTGCAACTCTCAAATACATTTTCTTGTTGACTGTACAACAGTACCCACCAAAAATAAGCTTATGATCGCCAGAGTATAGGGTGGGAATAAAATATTATTATTTTCCGATGAGAATAGAAAATAATATAAAATAACACGGTTCCACCAGGGCATCGGTTTTAAGGGATCAGATGGGAATAACTCCCACTAGTTTGTTGTTGTAATTGATAAGAAGATCGAAGAAAGTCAAAGAAAAATTCTTAAATAAATCCTAGAATAGTTTTCTCACAGGCAAGCACATAGAGAAATTCATGAGGTCTGCTGACTTGTTCCATAGCTCAGTTGGGAGAGCGATAGCCCGCGTTAGGCGAAAATGTTCATGATTCAAATACAGCCGGATGACGGATCGAAACAACTTTTTTATTTTTAGTTTGTTCGGTCTTTGTACCAAATTACAACAAGATATAAATTGGTGTGGGGAATAAGGGGGTCCAAACTACATCCTTCGGGCCCCAAGTCAACCTCACCTGCACGTGGTATTCCCCGCTGACCAACGAACGAGGTTCTGACACAAAACTCTCCACGACGCACTGGCCAGCGCGGCGTTTTACGGCTAAACCCCAAATAATTTGTGCCAATACACTACGGCCCTCAGTCTCCAGCAGCTCCGCTATTCCTAGTTATGGCAGCGGCCATGGTTCCGGCGGGGCAGAGGGTGCTAAGAATGGCCCAGCTGCCACAACCCAACGATCTTGCCCCGGCGTGTTACAACGCCAGGACGTTGCGTACGGACGAACGATTGCTAGAGTTCCAAACAAAACTTGAGACCATCAGATGGGATATAATAGGGCTTTCGGAGGTTGGAAAAAAGGGTGATGACGTAATTAAACTTGTTTCTGGTGATCTATTCTTCTATCGCGGCCATGAAGACTCTACTTATGGAGGGGTTGGATTTCTAGTAGCGAAAAATATTGCTCCGTCAATTATTAACATCAAGAGTATTTCTACTCGCGTTTGCTTTATTATACTCAAGCTGAACAAACGATATTCGCTCAAGATAATACAAGTTTACGCCCCAACGTCAGACCATCCCGACGAAGATGTGGAAGAGTTCTATGAAGACATTACGAAGGCCCAGATGACGCAACATGCCACTACAACACCATCATAGGAGATTTTAACGTCAAAATTGGAAAACCATTAATGAATGAGAAATTCGTCGGTGCTTTCGGTTTTGTGGTTCGCAATAGAAGGGGTCAGGCCTTGGTCAACTTTCTAGTCTCTGTGTCGTTGTGTCTTGGTCAACATTACACAGAGTGAGGATTGACTTAATGGCCGTAAGATAATGGCAGGTATGGGTTAAGATCTCCGTCGGCGCGGGAGCCCTGGCGTAAGCTAAGGCGGCCGGGCGGCGTCGTGGTGAATGTTCACTGATCCCACGGCGCCGACTCAACCGGCGAGAGGGAAACCCGGGGGGGTTTTAGTGGGGTAGGCCCTCCAGTCTGGAGGGAGAGTCCCCACATAAGCCCTGAGTCTCCCTGGGCTCAGGGGTATCCATAAAGATTTCCCCCCGTCAAAAAAAAAAGGCCTTGGTCAACTTTCTTGAACATAAAAAACTTTACGCAATGAATATATTTTTCCACTTTTCCAACTAACTGGATTACAGCACAAGTAATCCCTTTGCCAAAGAAACCGAATCCTTCCATAATAATCTTCTCTGAACTTCCTCCTATCAGTATACTTCCTTGCATGTCAAAGATAATTGAAAGGGTAGTGTGTAGACAGCTTTCGAAATATCTGGAGAGGGCTAATATCTTACCAGAATTCCAGTCTGGTTTTCGTAGAGGTCGAGGCACAGCAACAGTACTGCTAGACGTGGTTGATAATGTTTTGGCTGCACAGGATGTTGGGAAGAGCACGTTTCTGGTACTACTGGACCTCTCCAGGGCTTTTGATAGTTTGAGCATACCTCTCTTATTATCTAAGATGTCGTATTTGGTTTTGACATCAAAACGATTCAATGGTTTGATAGTTATCTTTCGGATCGGACTCAAATAGTCGCGCTGCGTACGGTAAATGGTGCCACTGTGTATTCTTCTCTTCGCCCTGTGAATTTTGGCGTCTCTCAGGGTTCTATTCCCGGGCCTCTACTGTTCATACTATACACTGCA